TTTTTTTTGGTGGGGGTCGAATTATATGAATTATCACACTTCACACTCCACACTTCACAGATGTGGCACTGCTGGACAACCAAAGCCACACCTTTTGTTCATAGCTATCCTAATTCCTATCCCATCTAATCTATAGCGTTACAATTATTTATTTCACACTGCATTCTCTACTTCTCAATTAAAACATATCAAAACTGCTGCATTCTCTTCTCACTGCTACCAAACACCATAACTCACGCCAATTTATCCAATGCTCTGCCATCCAATCAAAATATATAATTGCATTCTGCCCAACTCTCTCGTTTATTTAGAAAACAAGAAGAAAAAATTTAGCTTAAGAAATTGAAGATAAACAATGTTAACAAATTTGGAGCAGACAATTAAAAAATATTACGTAATATATATTGTATTGTGTTGCTGATTCATTGATTTTTAAGCTCGCCCTTGTGGCTTGTATTGTATGAACACCCAGGAGAATTTTTTAAAAAAAAAAGAAAAAAAAAATATTTGAGCCGTCTTTTTGTGCGCGTGAACTTTGCTTTGCTCGATTGTTCTTCCCCCGTGAACTCATTCAATTAAATAATTTTAGCTTCCATTGTTTTGTTTTCACTTTATTATTTTATTTATTAATTTTGAAGGAATTGTTTCGGTCAACGATGAAGGCACTAAACTCTTCGTGCTCTGGTGCTACGTTGACGTGTTAGGTTAGGTTCACCAAGTGACATTTTTTAAGACCTGTCCAGCTACCTACTTACCTATAAACAATTAGACACCCTCAAAATGCCAAAAACTCCATGAATTTGAATTTATACTATTATACTCTGTAATTTGGTTAGTTTATTTAAAGTGGGGTTTAGAGAGAGATCTCAAAAAATGGTGCGTTAAAAGCAAGGGAGTTCACGGATCATTCTAGAATTTGAAGTTAGGACAAAGCAAACACAAAAGGTTTTGTCCATATCTTTCACGAAGAACGATATGAGAAATTCCCACCTTTTGAGGTTCTTCCGGGTGTGGCTGTGCTGCTGCAACTCCATCTTCTTTGTGGTTGTCCAGTAGTGTGGACCCACATTTTGATTTTGGCCACAGCTTTGTCTTGCATGTGAATTCTTCAACTGCATTATCTATTTTTCTATTGTTACCCTATTTTATATTTAACTATTAATCCCAATGGTACGACAACCAACCACATAAGATAATAATGTAACTGTAACCGTATTAAATGTATAAAAAAAATGCCATTTTCTAGAAAAGAAAAGTCGAGACTTTTATTGAGTAATGCCATTCCATATGATCTGTGGTTGGATAGATATTGCGGGATTTGAAAAAGAATTGAAGTGAAAAGGAAAAGTATCCTTTTTTATGATAACAAAAGAAAGTTACGATTTAGTTATTGTAGAAAGAGGACAAGACACAGAACAGTTGGAGGAAAAATTTCCAGTTTGAGAGATTTGAGGAGGAGAATGGTTGTCCCCACATGGTTGGTGTGTTAGATATGTCTGCAAGTTTTGAGCTTCAAATCCAAAGCGTACGTACAAAAAGCCATGCTGGCAAAAACTCACGGACGAGTTCCCAATCCCAACAGAGAAGTGTGTATTAATAAATTTTTGGTGTGATCTCTCAAATGAGCAACAATTGCAGCAGGCCAAGCCACATGACCCATAAGCTATAGTCATATTCAATCTTTTCATCATCTTCTTTTGTTTTTTCTTTCTCACCTCAACATCCACATTGCCGCCCAAACCAAACCAACCCACTACCAATAATGTCTCTGTACAAACACATTATATACTTTTAAACTTAACCCAAGTTATTGGAGTGACTCGCATGAATTCTCTTAATTATATGCAAATTGTTAGTTTGTTTTATCGATGAAATAATCTAGGATATGCTTTTAAAGTTTAAAAAGGTGAAGATCGATTAGGTAGAAAATTTTGGTAAAGGTTTCACGAGACTTACTCTCTATCTCCATTCTCCCAAACCCATTTGAGTTTGTCAAAATCATAGAAAACTTGTATCAATTCACCGCCAGAGTAAAACTCAAATGAATACTTGGAGCCACGAGTGATGTACTAAGATGGAAGGAAAATACACCAAAGAGATTTCAGATATATAGAGTCTGGTCAATTGAGTTGGACATACTAAAAGAATCTTTCAACATTTAAGTATAAATAGATACTTTTAAATAAGAATTCCAGAATAAAAGTGTCACATAAATATAATGGGTAAGAAATCAGTTTCTTCTATGATGCCCTTTCCAACCAAAATATTATCTAATATCCATAGGGTCATTATGATGATCACTTTTAACCCAAATGAATACCTAAAAGGCTAAAACCTTCCTTATTATATTCTTCTCTCTCTTAGAAACACTGCTTATGCAGCCCCAAACTCCTCTCCCGTCTCCCGTTTTGCCACGTTCCAACATAGAAAGAGATGTCTACTTTTTCATCTTTCGAGATAATTTTTCTCTTATTTTGTGTTGTTCTTGTGCAAGTTTCCAAAAACTTCATTAAAGGATTCCTCAAGCTTTTATATCTCCTCTTAAACTTGTCGTATTTGTTGTCCTTAGGCCTTAAATTAAGTTTTGTGAAGTAATGTTGTTTAAGTTTAAATCTAACAAACTCATATCTACTCTTTTACCTTTGTTCACATTGATAAATTGAAGCCTAATTTGACATGGAAGGACAACGATGCATCTTCAAGCGCATTTCAAACCAAATCGCTTGTCACCTAGTCTTCAAGCCATAACAGAATTCTGCTCACCCCATCGATAGACTATTTGACAGTAACATATTATTTTAACTTGTTTAGTTCTATCACCACTCAATCGAAGATTTTCATTTGAGTGCTCAGATCATGTTCGTTATTGACAGATCGCTTGAATTTCCGTTACTATTATTTATGGCTAAATGTTTTCGACATTATTATATTCTAGACATGTAATTAACCAATCTTTTGGTTGATGAGTTAGTCATGTCAGTCACTTAGCCTAGCCACGTTAATCAACTACTAGATAGTATCATGTTTATGCAATGTCTAGCTAACCGTTTCTAGTAGCAATCCTATGCCGTGTGACATAATTTCATTTTAGTTGCAAACTCTGCTTCATTTTAGTTCCAGTTTCCACCAAGCCACACAGCCAAGTATACGGTCAGGAACACCAAATTTCTTATTATAAGAATTTCAGAAGTACAGGGACGTGTTCAAATCTTGCTGTACCAACTGCTTTGGTCGATCCAGAGATGTGAATTTCATTAGCTGTCAGTCGCGTCTCTAACATGTACTCTTGAGAAATCTGCATGGATTCAGACCTGATCATGACAAATCGCATCTGTGGCTGTTGCAGATGGTGCTTTTAGCATTGAGTTAGAGCTTGAATCCATGGTCAACACCTCAAATCAAGATTACTTCTATTTGGTGGCCCAATTCAACAATTAGATTCATCCTTTTTCTTTGAACTAAGTTGTGATTATGAAGAGATACCTTTGCTGTAGATAGTCCTCTGCGAATTAAAAGGGAGGGGAATATTAAACATTCGGACAAAAATGTTGGATTTCAGGGAAGTTAGTTGTCTTCTTTTCTTACAGGATAATGATGCTCACCATTTGCTTCCTGAACCATCAATGACACCACGTCCTTGCAATTCAACTCCATTGAGCAAACATCAAGTCGCAGCCACACTTTTTTCCCCATCGAACTAAAGTTTACACGTGTAACAAAAATATAATGATGAGCATTGGTAATAATAGGTTGGACAACGAAACCACAAAGTAGTTGCTAGCTTTTGTTGTATCTTCCAGATCAAATAGATAACTAACCTGTCCATGCATGGGTAAACCTTGACTCAGTAACTGAATGTCGGTGCTTTGAAAAGCCTGACATGGATAGGATTGATTGTTAATATCAATCAAAGAAGAGGAAGGAGAAAATATTTACCACTCGCAAGACACGACCTTGTAACTGAGGTGCAACCTCGATAATCATACGAAGCTACTGAAGAAAAATAAGTCCAACCGCTAAATTGCACCTATCTATAGATACTAGGACGTGTACTTTTACCTCAGTATAATCAGGAACCCCGTCTCTACAGCTCCAAAATTATCCTCAAGTATGACATTCGCTCATCCATGATGGCATTACAGAAAGGTCCAGTTTACTTTAGTTCATCCATGTCCAAGCTTTCAAGATTCTGAGCAATGCCAAAGTCGATGTAAGCTGTCATATATTACACCATCTAGATCTTGCATAAGTAATTATCAGCACAGCAAAAAAAGGACATCATGAGACATATGCATCCATAATTTATTCTGGAATTTCGTCATACTGGTTTGCAAGAGGTAATGCATGCAAGTGTTATATAAAGTACGTCTGTGTGTCTATGTGCACTCGCACTTTGGACAAAAGGTCTTTGTATTATTTATAGCTTGGCTTAAAAGTAGATGGAGTTACATTCCAACAAGCCTCCGCTTAAGAAGGGAGGGTGAATTTTTTTTCCTAACAAGATACGAACTTTTCATTGATGTAGGAAAAGGAACCAAAAATTGTTCAAAATACAAACTCTTCGGAAGGTGAAAAGAACACGAAACACGAAAATACAGAGGAAATTACAGAAATTATGGATTAGACTAGTAAAAGCATCCCAATTGTTAAAAATAAAATGATGCACAGAAAAAAGTTAAATAAAGGATGGGTGAACTTTTAAACCAGTAGGCATACATTATTTGGGATTTAGATTATCTCCTGCCATTTCCTCCGTTGACAAAAAACTTAACCTAAAAAATGTGAACTTCAAATATTCCATGCAATCAAACTATTGATTTAGAATTAAAATCTTCCAACTTTAACAAAATTATGACAAAAAACCTGCAAATCAAGGAATAATGCGAATGACATGGTTTGGAATCAGCATGCAGCGTAAGTAAAGATCAAGTGATCTTTAACGTGCCTGCCAAAGGTCCAAGAAAGAAACCTCCTGGAATCAATGTGAAGCTCTTGTAGACAGTTTGTCTGAGCTGCTGATTCTGCTAAGTGGAAGCACCCAATTAACAGAGACTTCTTACCTCTATTAAACTGTGACCAATTTCTCTTACCAATTTTTTTGTCAATGCAACTTCTCTAAGTTGCTTTGAGGTTCCAAACTCTCCAATATCAGAATAGAAGTTTGAAGCCTGCAAAAGAATGGCAGGATCCTCAGCTTCGAGATCCACCAAAGACTTTGCAATTTTCCTTCCGATTGTTTCATTTCTATGGATTCTACAACTTCTTAACATGGAGCTCCAGATCACACTGTTGACCTTTTCTGGCACCTTTTGCAGCAACTTTTCAGCCTCATCCAACAGGCCTGCACGACCTAGAAGATCAACCATACATGAATAATGTTTCCAGTCTGGTTCAATTCCGTAAAGGGTTTTCATTGACTCAAACACAAATCTTCCTTCTTCAACCAGTCCTGAATGGTTGCACCCTATCAATGCGCACAAGAACGTCACTTTGTCAGGTTCCATGCCTTTCTGGATCATCGCCTTGAGAATTTCAATACCCTCCCTCCCCATTCCATTTCGGGCATATCCATTAATGATTGAGGTGAAACAAATGACACCTGGGGAAGGGAGTTCCTCAAAAACTTTGCAAGAAAGCTCAACATGACCACATCTTGAGTAAGCATCCATTAAAGAACAAGAAACTACAGAATTAAATTCAAAGCCTGATTTTATGGCACAACAGTGGAGCAATCTGCAGCTGGTCAAGTCTGATGGAGAAGCCATTGATAATGCTTTTAATGTTGTGGACAAAGTAACCTCATCAAGTTCAATTCCCTCGTCAATCATCAATCCAAACATCTCGACCACATCTTCAATGACACCACAGTGTAATAAAGATGTCATTAAAGAGTTACAACACTCCAAAGTTCTCACAGAAATACTTCTATACACGGCCACTGAACTCTCAATATCAAGGCATTTTCCATACATATTTATCAATGCGGATTGAAGGTGGCTACTCTCGTGACCAAAACCCATTTTCAGAGCACAAGATTGAATCTGTTTCCCCAACTGGATATTCCCTGTCCGACTGGATAAATTCAGAAGAGCCATTAACGACCGAATTGAGGGCCTTTTCCCCCAAAACTGCATCCGAGAAAACAAATCAAGTGCTTCTGATAAGAAACCAATGTCCGCATAAACTGCAACAATCGAATTCCAGGAAATAACATCCTCTACTGGAATATATTCAAATGCCTTTTTTGCTTCTGTTAAACTTCTGCAATAAGAGTAGAAATCCACCAAAGCATTTGGAACAAAGATATTTGGTTCGACCAATCCAATTTTTACAGCGCGGCAGTGTAATTGCTTCCCTTCGTCTAAGAGCCTTTCGTTACCAAATCCTCGAAGCAAATAGCAAAAAGTAAGTCCATTTGGATCCGGGCCTTCCAATTGCATTTTCGAGAAAAATTCCAGAAGCTTTTCGAATTGACCCAGTTCACAAAACCGACGTAGCAACAAGTTCCAAACAGCTATATTTCGTTGTGGCAATTCATCAAACACCTTCAAAGCTACGATATCAAGGCCCACCCGCATATAGTAATCAATTAGAGAGCTACAAATAAACAAATTCAAGCTAAATCCAAGAAAAACCACTCTGCAGTGAATTTGACTTCCTTCTTTGTAAAAATCCATGTTGCTACAAGTGCCCAAGACTGAAGTAAATGTTGACGCACTTTCTCTAATCCCTCGAGAAACCATTTCGCTGTATAACCCAAATCCGCGCTCTGGAAGTCCATTGCGAAGACACCCAGTTATTAGCAAATTGTAGGTAACAACGTCGTGACGAGGCATTTCAGCGAACAATTTAATGGCAGAGTTAAGGTTGCCCAATTTGATAAGTTTATCGATTTCTCGATTTTTAAGGTAAATTACATCACGATCACGAGAATGCGCACCCAAACACGAATACGGTTGTGCTAAATAAACTGGTGAAGCTGTGGGTACAAATTCAGATGTAACAGTTGTAATGGTTTGGCCGAAGGACGCGAATTTCCTGGCCTTTCGCATCACAGATTCAGCTTCTCCGAAGAATGGCTCTAGAACTTAGAAAGGTTTGGTCAAGGAGGATCAAAGAATACTCGGTTCCGATGTTGGTCGCAGAGTACAAGACTTGTGCTAGGAGCTCAGTTAATTTATTTAGTTAAGTTGTGAGATTACTATAGTATTACGCTTTATATACACAATAAATAGTTTGAATTTATGTCACCAGTTATTGAATGGAGGTGGCCACGACAGCAATGAGGAGCTTTAAGGTTACTAGTGTGAAAATGAACAGGTTAAAAGCACATTGACTAAAACGTTATAAGTTCGGTTGAATTACGAAATCGATCAACTGTGTGACCCTCAGTTTAGTATTACGGGCCACTCGAATGATGAATTAGAAATGAACCAGACTAGTGACCTGCAAAACAGAACACACTCCGATGATTTTATCTGGCGAAACCAAACTTGAAAGAGAATTTAAGATTCGCGTCCCTTTGAAATGAAAAAATGAGTTCTATTTATAGAGGAAATCTCCGACCATGTTCCCGATAAGGCCTCAACAGCTCTTTAAGGTAACCGTGAAATGCAGCGTGATGTCGTGAAGTCTGTCGGAAGATGAGATGAGTCGAGGTGGAGGAATAGGTTCAACCAACAGATGGAACAGGATTCCAAGTAAGCCTGATCGATTTGGCTACCAGGGAGGTCGGTTCGACCGAGACGATATAACATATGATAGCGTGATATGCCACATGTGAAATCACCTCCAACAAGTTCGAACTTCATTGAATTAGGGAAAAAAATTAAACTCAGCATGGTAAAAACATATAGATACAAAGCCATTTAATACTTAAATCAAGTTACTTTTTTAATTTAGTCACTTAGCATAACTCTTAAAACATCTCCATTATTTGTAAGGGGTTGTAAGTTCGGATTATCTCAATGCATCACCATTTGTTTTAAACAAAAAAATGCAAAACTGAAATATTTGGTGTGAAGTTGTCAATCTCTATGCCATACGAAATATGTTTAAAGTTTTGGGATACAATTTGTAAGACACCTAATTTAGCTAATAGTTGTAGTCTCGCCCCAAATGGCAATACAATCTACTTGGAGTGGTGGCTTCTCACTTGGACAGACCATAGACAATTTATGTAGAGTGATTTATTGTCTCCACTATACAAAATACAATTTATACAAAATACAATTTATTGATGATGTTTGATCAAATAGCTCTCACTTTTTTTTAATATAACATGTGAAGTGAAAATTTGAATTAATAATTTTCTCGTAAGAGATAGGTGTCTTAATTCACTAATTATGTTTAAGTTGGTAAATTTCTAATCTCAGTTAATTGAACTACCACCGAGGGTAATTATACTATTGCTTAGATCAATTTTATTAATGGATGAATGGTGCACCAATTTTTTTTATTTTTTATTTTTCGGATGAAAATTTTCATATTTTTATTATTTCTTAAATATAATAAGTTTGCAGATTAAATACAAATATTTAAGGGACTTTCAAATATAAAAATAACAATAAATTTTGGTTTTTCAAATATAGCACTTTTTTTCAGGAAAAAAAAAAGAGGTCGACATATTAAATGACAACTTTGTCTGCAGACCCAATCCCAAGCACAAGAAACCTAAAAATAAGTCTAAAATGCGGAATGCGGAAGCCTATGAAACCCTACCTTTCAATTTCCCTTCGATTTCCACTAATATATATATCTGATATATATTTGATATACTTTTAATTTACCACTGATATACAACTAATATACTATTGATATAACTATTATTATATGATTATATGATTTACCATATATTGATTTACCACTAATATAACACTGATATATTTGATAGGTATCTGATTTATCACTTGTATACCTCTAATATAACCATAATATCTACTGATATAACTTTTTATATGATTATATGATTTACTATTGATTAATTTACCACTGATATAACCTTGATATATGTCTAATATATATTTGAAATACATCTAATATACAATTAATTTACTTTTGATATAACTATAATATCTACTGATATAACTTTTTATATGAGATTTATCATTAATATAATATTGATATATGATTTATCATTGATTTACCACTCATATATATTTAATATGTACTTTATATACTTCCAATTTATCAATGATATAAACTATGATATATGATGTTCCACGAAAAAAATTTGTTTTTGAAATCGAAATTTCGGTTCAAAATGAACAACTAATGTGATTACATGTTGTTGGTATATATAACATGTGACTGCATGTTGGAATTGTTGGTAAATACAACTCATATACCACTTATATAACTTCTTATATCGTTATATGATTTACCATTTATTGATTTATCACTGATATATAGTCATGATATATATCAGATATAACACTGATGTACCTAAAATATATCTTATATTTAGTATATCAATGTGATATACTCAACTGATATACTTCCTATTATAATAGAGTGAAGAACATAAACACTTTACTAATTTAAAATAGAATGAATAACGAGATGAACAAAAAACCTATTAAATACAGTATGAATTTTTTGAAATTCTAAAAAATTGAACTTTAAATTGTGAAGAAGAATCCCAACGATGAACAAAAAACTATTAAATATAGTATATGTCTGATATACGTATAATATAATATTGATATGATATTCTGATATACCTAATGTGAATTTTTATGTAATATATATCTGATATACGTCCGATATACTATTGATATGATATTATGATATACCTGGATATGTATGTGATATACTATTATATGAGTATTTGATATATTTAAAATATAAATGTATAATATACTACTATTGATATGAGTATTTGATATTCGTATGTCTGTAAAGGATAACTTGGGAATACTGAAATATTCAAAATCAGAAATCTACAAATTTTGTTATATTTTAAAATGTAAAAAATGGGTACTATATTTTAAATATATAAAACTAATTTGCTACCCAATACAATTCCTTAGGTTTAATCTTAATAGCATAGAATACAAATTATTTTTTCTCAAAATAAAATACAAATTATTATAATATCATATAATATTTTCGTTATAACATTCAAAATACATTTTAAATTTATGTGGAGAATATTATTTATTTATTTTTATTATTATTTTTTAAGTACAGTGGAAAATATTATTTAAAATATACAGTTGAAACGAAAACAACTTGCACTTCGATTATTATTTATTATTTATTTTTTTAGTTTTTAGATGCAACAAACGCAATACGATTTCTCAAGCGTCCGATAAGAAAGAAATCCAACGGTTAGAGTTAGTATTGAAGTACCCAGTTTCAAGAGTCTGGCATAAGAATCAACCCCATTCGATCGAGAAGCCGCCATCTTCATCAAAATCGTCTGAGGCATTCGATAGCCGTGCTCGAAGTTGAAGAATTAGGATTGCTATGGGGAAGCAACCGGTCCGGATGAAGGCTGTGGTCTACGCCTTATCGCCATTCCAGCAGAAGATCATGACAGGGTTATGGAACGACTTGACCGGCAAGATTCACCACAAGATCTCCGAGAACTGGATCAGTGCCGTCCTTCTAGTTACTCCCGTCGTCGGCACCTACACGTAATTTTTGATTCCTTGTTCATTTCCATATTTTTCTTACTTTTGAAATTTCGACTTTAGGGTTTACTTTTGTTGTATAGTTTCCACCTTCCTGTTTCAATCTATTATCAAATCTTTTAAAATATCACGCTTTTCATTTGATTCTCGACGATCTCGTTAGCTTCATCTGTTCATAACACTTGATCGGGTTTAATTTAGATGAGATATCTCTTAAAGAGATTCAAAGTAGAAAATGCATAATCCCATCGACGTGGAATGGAAACCTGGTAATGAGTTGGTCTTTGCTGGACTTAGCCTTAAGATAGAAAGTGTTCAATATTCATGAATACGAAATTTTCTTCTGGAACTGAGCAGTTACAATTGGTATCATCTTATTGCGCATTCTGGTTTGGTTGATTGTTTTAATTTGTTGAAACGGAATAGAAAGGTCTGTGACTGTTTTTATTTTTATTTTTTGGGTGAGTGATCCCGTGATCTTAATTGCAAGTGTTTATTTCTGTTTTTGATCTTATTATCAGTATAGGCGTTGCCTTGCTTGACTGAAAATTTTCCCAGGCCATGTCAATCAGATTTGCAATCACTCTTCCCCCATTTGTAGTGAATCCTAGCTGCAATAACCTTGAGTTACTTCGGTCTATTTTAAGTTCATGCTATTTTATCATTGGTTAGCAAAATTACTTCTGTAGTACATAAGGTGGAGCTTTTAATTTTTGCAATGTAGTAAAGAATAGAGACTAAGGGATACCTTCCTCATGCAAGATTGAGAAATCAAATGCAGGCGAGAGGTTTAAAAATTAACCTAAAATTCAAATTTAGATGATAACGTGATGACTAATTCATGCTTTTATTTAAGTGAGACGTAAGAATGACATCTTTGTAGCAGAATGATGAAATGGGCATCACCCTGCATGAGAAAACACTGTATTTAAGAAAATTTTAGCACTTGATATGATAGTTGGATGAACATGTTTTTCTGAAGTATTATCATTCATCAAATATATAAAATAAGTATCATGCAGTGTTGGCATGAGACGAAACCTAGTTGAAGGTTGTCGCCTTAATCTTTGATTGAACTTTGAAGCATCACTTGCATATACCTATACGACTTATAAGATTAATGACTTGTATTAGTTGACTGATTGGTGGAAAATGTGGCGATGGTTGATGAAACATGTGGAGATGTATGTTTCGCTTATGAACTTGTTGTTTTTCTTTGATTCAGGTATGCACAGCAGTACAAGGAGAAGGAAAAGTTGGCCCACAGGTACTGAAGGCGCCTGGTCCCAGGGTTACCTTGAAGAAGAACTTTTGAACATGTGACCATTTTGTTATGCATCGTGATAAACTAAACGGAGCTGTGTTTTCTTAGACTATGAGGATGTGGTTTTATATTGAGGAACATTTTCTCGCTTGTTTGTTGGAATAAATTACAACATTTTTTATGATGTGAAAATGAATATAAGAAGATGGTGTAACATGTATTGGGATGGTGCGTGCAGACTTCGATTAGATTCAATTCTGATTCTACCACCTGAAGCAGAAGCACCTTATTTATCTTTCACCATTTTCCATCTACCTTCTCTTTCTCCTTGTCACTAACTTCATCCTCCTTTTTATTATTTTCCTAATTTTTTAATTTCTTACTTCTCGAAACACCAAAATTTTAAATACAATTTATGGATCACTACGCCCTCTGAGTCCCGTCAAATGAAAAACCGATTTGAAATTATGTTTCTGAAATCAAATCGACGGAAATCGATACACCAGATTGTCAATTATAATTTGAATTGATATTCGTTATTTTCTGTCCTTTAAAATTTATAGAACTCTATCTCCTTTACAACCTGAAAAAACCCACCACAATATCTCAAACACACACACACACACACAACACAACACAAACCTAACCAATAAACCTTCCGTCTTCATTTTTTAATGCTATGCAAGCAAAATTACTATAAAATTTAAATACTTTAAAACTGCCCCAATTTACGTTTTTCCTTCGCAACTGCAGTATATATAGTCAAAGAAAAAAAATTCAATTTCTTTTATAAGAGTGCAGAAATGAATCTGTATTGGAATTTGTGCGTGCCTAAACCTAAAAGGTGGAAAATCGGAGTCAGAAAATTGGAATTTGTAGACGACAACTTGTACGGGGATGCCTCGCTACACAAATGAGCCCCCTGCGGTTCGCGTCTATGCGATTTGCGACGAGTCAAGGTTATGCTCCGCCTCTGTTATTTCTCCTCTGCAGAATCGAAGATCTATGACTTGCTCATATTTACTTGTTCTTTGTGAAATCCAACAGGTATTTGATTGTGAGGAATGTTCCGGCATTGGGTTGCGGAGATGACTTGCTCAAATTGTTTTCCTCCTACGGAAACGTTGAAGAGTATGACTTTCATTTTTTGTTTTCTTTTAGACTCGTCTTTACATGCTTTTTCTTTAGCCTGCTATGTTAATTTGCCTCAGTAGCCACATGTATTGCCATTTCATGTTGAAAGCCTTTGTTAATTGTTATACCGTCCGTTGCAAAATTTTCCAACTCATGAGAAATTTTCTATAGTTCTTTCTTTTCTTTTTGGAAGGGGCCTCTGGAGCCATCCGGCAATGGCATAAATAGTTCTTTACCCGGTCACGGCATATAATTGTTTCATGTTTTCCCTGTTGGATTAGCTTCTAATAATTTCATTTCCCTCTCTAGATTGGAAAAATCTATAACAGCTCGTATGCCTCATATTTTCCTTTTATCTTATTTGATACTCTGTCAGGTGTAAACCAATGGATGCAGAAGAATGTGATGAATTTACGGATGTTTATTTTATCAAATTTCACTTGGTTAACAATGCCAGGTTAGTTGGTTATCTTTTGATTAAAAGCATGCGCTAGAGTCCCCCGACCCCCCCGGGACAAAAATTTCTTAATCATGTATGCTCTTTATTCAACTGTAAAAGAATTGAACTATAATGATTTCATTTTTAGGTTTGCAAAAAGAAAATTGGATGAGTTTGTTTTCCTTGGTAATCGGCTGCAAGTCTCTTATGCTCCTGAGTTTGAAAGCTTGCTCGATACAAAAGAAAAGCTAGAAGTCAGGAGACGAGAAGTTTTAGCACGATTGAATCGTAAGTTTTTGTGTGTGTGAAATGTAGCTTTGGCCTTTTTTATGCATATAATAGGGAGATATTGTTTTGAGTACATGTGGAAGGCATTAATTTAAAAATCCAAGAAATGAACATTATAATAGGGAAATGGTGTTTCCTTCTAATTAGTTCACTTTTAAGCATGTTATAATTTTGATATCAGTTGGAAGATCAAAGGGATCCTCAGTCAGATCAACTGCCACAGATCTTTCAAATCCTTCACACTCTCATTATGCCCTTGAACAGAAGTACTCTCTTGAAAAGAGGTATAAACAAATGAAAATTTGCAGTTTCTTCAAACTCACAAAATTGTTTTAACTGTCCTTTTCTTGGTAGGAATTATGGAGATGCAGCACTCATTTCCAACCCACGTGTTTCTCAAATGACAAAAGTATCCTCCGACCAGGTTTGTTATTATAGTTGTCTTCCCTCCCTTCTCATGTCATCTTTTATGTTATAGTTGTTATTAACAATGCTAGGGGACAATTATTATTCATGTGTTCTTTTAGTTCATGTTTTCTCTTTTACATGATGAAATTTGAACATAGTTTCAATACTTGTGCTGCAATATGGGTATGAGGAGTTCAATCCAACTGGCTCCATGATCACTTTGGAAGGCTCATGCAAGTGTGATAGGCACAAAATTAGGAAGTCTAGAGTGTTTCTCCTTTATTTTTTATTGGGCACAAAAATTTCCAGGCATTTGGGAAAGTCTAGACTCTCCCAACCATCTCCAGATTTTTCCTTTGGCTTTTGCAGTAATAGCAAACTTGGCCATTTTTACAAAATATTAGTGGTATATCTATATCAATGATGTACTTTATATTAGGTATATCAATGATATACTTTGTCCATGATGCAAAAATAGTATATCAGTCATATACTTTATATTGGTACATCACTAATCGACTTTATCAAGGATACAAAAATGGTATATCGATTGTTCTAAAGAAATAAAAAATGGTATATCAATAATATATTGTATATTGATATATTTTATCAATTGTAGAAAAATGGTAGTATATAAGTTATATAGAAGAATTATCATATTGAAAAATGATTTTTAAGTGTGACATATTTGCAAATGTAGAAACTAGTTTTACCACCTATTATAATTTCCCTTCTTCCTTTCTTTCCCCGTTCAATCCTTGCCCTTTTACTGCTTCAGCCAAATTAGTTAGATAACTACCCATAGTTATTTGATATCAACTTAGTCATGCCAGTGGGCTAACAATACTAACTATCGACTCTATGACCTGCCTTGTCTGGCATGAGTAATAGGTATATAGGTGACTGTACGATGAGGTGTGCTCTAAATTTCTGTGTTTTTATCACTCCATTTTGGTATTCAAGAATTCAACTAGTACATTAATAGAAATAGACACAATATAGTTGCCACCAATTCTTCGATAGCAACGTCTTCAATTGTTGGTGCTTCGAGATTCTCATCAATGCATAGTTCTATGAGTTGGAAGAATCTTTACTTCAAATATCTGTTTTGTATTTTGGGTCAAATTTGTATGACCAAAATATTTAAAGCAAATGGCATCATTTTTCTCTTGCCAAGAATCACCGAACCACTTGGAATTGCCTCATAAATTACCCAAGCATCAATATTCAAATCAAATTTCATACTCTAGATTCTTCCTCAAATTCATTGTTGGAGATATTTCCATCAATTTCGATTACCTCTTCAAAACTATCTCTAAAATAATTTTCAATTTCTTCAAATTCAATCAAGTGTGCAATGAATCACATTACAATATGTTCAAGAGGGCAGATGCCCCTACCTTTTTTCCCCCTTTGGAAATGGGATTTTGGTGATCTCAGGCAAAGAGGGGTGGAAAGAGGTCCAACTACACCTTGGAGAAATGAGCATGATGCATTGGAGACTTTCCATCGAATTTGGATTTGAAGATTCGAAGGTAGTGGGATTTAGTGTCAGCACTCACTGATTTTTATACCCGTGTATATGAAGCAATAGCTTCTTGGTGGTGGATCCATGATGAAGATGACGTGGTTTGGAAACATAATTGGTATTAAGCCGGTTGGTGGAAACTGGGGGTAGGGGCCTTGGTTTTATCTAGATGAAGCAAGAGCCTCTTGGTGGATCAATTGTGGAACGTTGAAGTGTATAATGTTTGAGGATGTGGTTTTGCATCCGAGTGTGGAGGTAATAATTTTCTGAATCCAGACTGGTCTTGATGATGTGGTGAAGAAGATGAGTATGGAGGTGATGGAAAAAATACTTCATTAGTCTGTGAATCTAACAAATTGTGCTCACTCCACCTCCAGTATCTAAACTCCAACCATCATTTATGGCCATCCTACCTTTTAGGAACAGCCAAGTGTTCTGATTCCAAACTAATGCAATGAGTTTTCGTGATTAAGTCAAATCCATGACAAAAAAGGGAAAACTCCCAAAATGAGAGAAACTCTCTATACTCTAAATTCTTTAATTTTGAAAAATTTTCTAAGACAATCCAACTGTGGGCTATTTAACCTTACAAGAAAATGAAAATAACTAAAAATCCTGAAAGATTAATTGTCTAATAAATTTAAGTTAACTTACTCAGATTGACAATTTAGTTAATAAAAAAATAACTAATTAACTATATCAAAATAAGCTATTAGGCTAGTTATATAATTGCTTGCTTCCTACACCACTCCCCACTTTCTTATAGTAGTTGATTGCCATTGTAGACTTCTAGGGTCTACAAATAATGTGTTGCTCTCATTATGGTCCTGCTCTAATTATTTGAAAGGTAATTTTGTTTCATCACATAGATGATTTTTAAGTTGCCTTCTCCATTCAAGGAGTGCAAACTCACGGTTTACCGAATTGCCTTTTTTCCCCCTTGACATTTTCTTATGAAATCTTAAAATAAAATCATGGTCTTGTTAAAACTAGGAATGTTTTTCTAAAGGACCTGTTGGTGGCATGGTTAGTCGTTGATGCCACTAGGGGTTGGGTCTAGGGTAGGAAGGTTTAGGTATCATCCTTGATAATCGTCTTGAATCTTCCGTTTCTGGGTGAAGATATGGATTGAACATTTGTTGACGTTTACTTCTTTGTTTATTTTTATTTCTGTTATCGTCCTTGTTGGGTAGCCTGTTGTAGATTTTCTTTTGGCTAAAAATGTGACTTTTTTCTCGGAGTGTACAGGATTACTTCGCATCTGAATCTATGAATCAAACTGTACATCTCGTCAGGGAAAAGCTTGATCAGGTGATAGAATTCCTTTGTGTTATGGTTTATTTTCAACATGTGAGAAAACTGTAATATAAACATTGCTTATTATTTGTGTTTTAGATTCAATCAAGCAGTGAACATCTGCAAGCTGGACCCGTGAGCAAGAAGTCACGTGTGGACAACAGAAGGAGAATATAATGCTTACCGGCCTTTATAGAGAATGGCCAGCGGGGGTGTCTACATTGTATCAAAAGCTATTTTGACACATCACATATATGTTTATAGTGTAAATATTTAACAATTCATCTTTATTTACAAAGGTAATAATGGAGTAGAGCATACACCAAAGTTCTGTATGAGGAGCTTTATTTTCTTTTCCCCCTATATTGGGGATCATGATAGTTAAAAAGCATTTTCCATTCATCTCTTTGATGCATATAGAAACCATGAAAGTATCAATCAGTCATGCCAATTGCCACGGCCCACGGCTATTTGAGGTCATTGAGGCACAAATTCGTATGGGAACATTTTGCAACGAAAAAAATTTGATATCAAAATTTCCCCTTCTTGCTCGTTAGACATTGTTCCGCCGGAACATAGTATCTTTTTTGTTATGCTATGAGAATGATAATTAAAAATATTAAAGTGGTGGACTGATTGAATTGGAACTGTTTGGTGAGGTTACCTTTCATAAGGTTTAAATGCGTCGTCAAAAATCACTAAAACAATTAGAAACAGGAACCGATGAAATATTCTCAATATCACATTTTTCCATCAACCAGACATTCGATAAGTGTGGCCTATGAAAAGCCAACATCATTGATCTTCATGCTAAAGCGATAAGCTCTGCATTTTCAACAGTTAAAACTAAATTTTACGAAGAGCAACTTCAACGTTCAGTTTAGTGATTTTTTTAAAAAAATGCAGGTATATGTATCATACATACAGAAGGATAGCAAGATTTTCTTTTCCAATTTGGTATGATTATAATTTAGGACAAATACACTTGAATGCCAGCCGTTTTGATCAACTGACAGACAGGACAGACATTTACAAGTCCATCACAATCTTTACACAAACAAAGGTGTCTACAAGGCATGAGTAGGATGGAAACCTCTTTTGCCTTGCATGCTCTGCAAATCATGTGCTCCTTGAAGCCTGGTAAATTCCTGGTACAAGATTTCACATTCCCTCCTGGAACACTAAGGTAATTGTTTGGATCAACGTGTGAGGCAGCATCATCCACCTCACTGTCTCCGAATCCTTCCTTTGCTTGGTCCCCACCCTGCGAGATAGCATGCTGGAGATTGTTTTTCAGGACATTTACCACTGATTCATTGTATTTAGCTCTGCTATGCCAATTCTGGGCTTCCGTCGCAACCTGCTTTATTCTCTCCACTAGTTCCCTGTTTTTACGGTTCATATTCTCAATTTCAACATCCTTCTCATGTAGTTTCCTCCCGATCCCTTTCTCTATTGCATTAAGAAACGAGGCCGTATGTCTCTGCTTCATGTCCCTTATACCCTTTGCCAAATGTTCTTCCTGTTTGTAAGGCATATGAAAATTTTAAAACCACAGATCAATTGAATCAACCGCATTGAAGAATACTTCAACATGAGCACCATTTGGCAGGCATCGTGTGAAGTTAATGCTATAAATAGTAATACATAGTTCATAAACCAATTAGACTTTGACCAGAAACATCTTCCAGGAAACCTCATCATAAACTATACTAGTTTTATCCCCATGTGCTCTTGTAAAGATCCAGACGAGGAATAAGTCCTAGAAACTCCGAGGAGTTTAGAAGTACCTGAATTTTAATATACTGATCAAACTCTTCCTTTTGTCTATCAATCTCAGTCCTGATATTATCACCAAGTGAAAAGATGATGGAAGGTGCCGCTGTTATACTTCCACTTGCAGTAGTAACAGAGGAGTTGTGTTCATCATCATCATACGATAGCCTTAAACCTGTTGACACGGCATTTGGGTTTCTAATGTTTGCTGAACGATCAGCATCATCTGGACAGGCGTTATAATTTAAGGAAATCTGAAGCTTCTGCTGTCTTGAGAAATCTTCTACTTCCCTACTTCTTTTGTTAGGGCGGAGCATATGAGCCATTTGCTCACTTCCAAAATAATTTACAGGCTCAATTCCACAGCTAACGGGAACTACAATATAAATTGTGAATTTTATTAGAGACGTGACAACTAAAGGACATTTAACAAGTTCAGATTGATCTCGTTAAATCTTCTACTGATCAAACTTTAACTCAAATAATTTTTAATGGTTAAACATAATAACAAAATATATGGAATGAATTAAGTTGAAATCAGATTTCTAAGAAACAGAAAAAACAACTCACAATTTCCAAATAGCTGCAGCTGACCAGAAGCATTACTTTGATACTGAGTTCGATTTTCATCCAGGAAAATGGGAAGCAAGGCATTGCCATTGTCACCACCCAACATTTTCTCCGGAATAAAACAGATGAACTTAAGGTAATGTGAAGTTTAAAATACCAATGGTATGGGAATTCACCACCTGCAAAAGGGGACAACAGTCTTAATAATCTCTTTCAGTAATAGAATAAAGTGATAACGACATTATGAACTAGTACACTACCTAAATATGAAACATGCTTCAGATATTGAAGCACCTCAATTTCAAATTACTTTGAGAAACATCGGACAAAATAACAGGAACCAATCAGTTGATTTACAGAAATACAAAAAATCTTGGATGAAGCAAGTTCTTAATAAGACCAGCATTGTCACAAGGGCTTCTTCGTGAATTTTTTCCAAATAAAACATTAAAAATAGGGGCCTTACATCTTCAATATATTCTTCTACAATATAGATGTAAAATAATCCATTACTTGAAACTTATTCAATGTTCGAATCTCCGATAATAGGGAATCAGTAATCTTCCAAAATCTAGTAATTCATAACATTTACTTAGAATTACAATCCATCCAAATAAGCAAAAGTACAAGAAACTACCTATCATACAATTTTCCTTACAAATCTTAATAGCAGAAAGTAAAACATAAACATCAACTTCCAAGGCAAAAACAAATTTCATACACAGCAGTAGAAAGACAGAGATCAGAAAATAACATCAGAAGTTCTATTTCAAAAACATATCCAGACAATCGGGAAAAACATTAGCAGGAAAAAGCATACGGGTATGGCATAGGAAAATAGATAAAGTTCAGTGTATCATAAGTGCCAGGGTCTCAAAATCAGGAAAGTTATGAAGATTGATGAGCAAGTTTGACCGGAATCGAATAACGTAGATGTATTGAGAAAAGAAGAGCAATCTAACAACTTTCACAAGGAAAAGCATATCATAATCCACGGATTTATTACGAATTCGAAATTTTCCATATCAGGCACGACTTTATCAAGGATGCAAACGCAACCTACACTCTAAAACACGGAAGGAAACAAGGAAAAGGCATAATAGAGGTTACCTGAACAAGAAAGTCATTTGGGCATAATCAGATGAGAACAAATATGATTTCCAGATCCTGCCATAAAACGCCCGCACAGGTTTATCCACATAATTCGCATGAACGTAGAACAGATACAGAAAAACGAAAAAATGAAATAGAAATTACAAATAAAAAAAAGTACCTGGAAGACATATATGTATATGTGCAGAATCAAATGGCGGAAACGGTGATCATCGGCGATTGATAGGATCTAGAAATATAAAGAAGGAAGGGGAGAGATGGATGGAGGGTGGAGGAGTGGTAACCGACGAAGAAGATGAGGAAGAAGATGAAGAATTATAGGAGAGAGAGGAAGAGAAATTGTAGGGAGGTGGTGCGGTGGGAGTGGAAAATTTATTAGAATGAAATGAATGAATCGGTGGTAGTGGTTACGCAAACGGATTTCCGTTCCTTTTTTCTTTATATTTATTTATTTTCTTTTTACGGAACACAAATTATGGAAGCCAAACCCATTCCTAAGGGAAGGAAGGAAGACAGTGGAAGAAAATTAAAGCTGATAATAACCCAACCCACGAATTTAACACACCATTCCTGGACCCCACCCCTCCAACTCCAAGGCGGTCAATTTTTTACCTCTTTTTTTCTTTTTCCTTTCTTTTTTTTACTTTTAATTTCATTGCATTCTATCGTTTTATTACAGATTTGCTGCATCGGTGGCAACGAAGAAGAAGATCACTCCCTCTACTCGCACTGGCGCAACAATTTCTGCAATTTCTGTTCACGCCCCACGTTTATTTAATTAATATTTAAAATATTCGATAATATATCAATTTCTTAACGTTCGTCGATTTTAATTTTGTCTTGATTTTTGAAAAATTAGGATAAATTTAATAAAGATGGTAACCAAACAGCGAAGATGGCGTTTTGAGAATTGTTCGAGAATGTGTGCTTTGCTTGCTGACAATACAACTGTAAATTATATTTCTTTTTCTCACCCCCATTTTGAATTGGTATGTCATAGGACCATTTTACTTAATTACCCCTGTCTCTCTATTTTAGAATATTTGGTAATGTGGTCTGGTCATTATTATTATTTACACAGAGAGGACGAATGAGATATTCGTGTGAGCTTTTATCATAATTCCTCAAGATATTTGTGGTAAGTCATGTTGTCCTTGAAACCACCATGTAATTTGACATAAACTTACTAGTGTTTGTGGTAAGGATGCAGTTTTAAAATAATAAACTTAGTGAAGTAATTATTAAAGGTCTTTTGTAGTGTAAAAATATTAAAGACTTAAAAATTTTCTTTTAGATATTATATTTGAGTTTTTTTTATTTTATTTTAAAATTTCATAATGTAACGAGAAGGGTAGTAAATGGTTGAAGAATATGAATAGTATTTTAATGTAAGTGAATTTTTTTATAATTATTTGGTCTAAATATTAAACCATCAGTAAATATGAATAGATGAGATGTGTAATATTAATAAAAATGGTAAAAATTTTTTTAGTACAATAATTTGACAGATGTGGAGTCGAACCTCCAACCTCTGTCAATTACTATTTAGATATATTCGCGTAGATTTAAATGAAAATGATAATAATAACATTTTGAAATGATTGTTTCGATTAAAAAGATATAATAAAACATGAGAAGGGATATATAATAAAATAAAACGAAATTGAAGAAGGTATTATAGATGGAGTTGGAGATGGTAAAACAAAAAAATTAGAATTTTGATATAGAGAGAAAATGTTGATGGGAGATGGAGTAGAGTAGGAGTAGGGGGTGGGAGAGCGAGGACCATCAACCAGAATTAAATAAAATAAATAATTGAGTGCAGAAACACACTGTAGAGAAGAGAAAGGGGCGGGAAATAAAAAGAAAGAAGAATAAGGTGGAAGTTGGGGCTGTGTGGCCTGGTCTCGGCGGGCCCACCTTAATCTCTCTCTGTGTTTTGTTTTTTTGGCGCGCTCTTACTTTTGCTTTTGCTTTCGCATTTGCATTTCTAGCGAAGCGACAACCTGCTCTGTTCACGGATCTCCATTCCCCGATTTGCGGGTCACCATCTTCATCCCCATTGCATTTATTATTATTTATCCCTCTTTTTTACTCCCTCCTCATCCCTCCCTTTTTTCCTATTCTATTTTCTTGACTATTATATTCTCCTCTTTCTTTCCGATTACAATTCATAAGCTATACAAACTTTTGCCACTATTTGATTAGAAAAATCTAACGAGTATGTCCTAATTTATTATTGAGATGTTACATGATTATTGTCGACTTAAATATGTATGGGAGGAATCTCGTATTACATAAATATAGAAGTAAAAATTTGAAATTTTGAAAGGAATCACTGGGCCACACTCGTATTGGTTTGACCAATATCAAGGCGACATTCTTCTTAAACAACCTACCATTTTTATTATTATTTTATTTATTTTTTAAAAGACCTCCAATTTATTTTATGGCCAATTTTCAATTAGGCAGTTAGCTTCCAAAGTGGACTTTTTATTTTTTAAGTAAATCTGCTCATTTATTGTATGAGTTAGGTCAAACTATTTCATTATGCACTAACATTATTCAAATAATTTGTTGTTAAATTATAAATATGGTAAATAAATTTTAATTTTTTTAAAATATGTGTCTAAATTTAATACTTATGTCTATTTAATTTATGTATTTATTATATTTTTAACAACTTCTAAATAGTTTTCTGATTACCCTTTACTTTAATGTTTTTTAAAAATTATATATTTATTTGTTTTGTTATATATTGTTTCAATATATTTTTAAACTTCAATCTAAATTTTATAAACTAAAAAGTAAATAATTTTTTCAAAAAAAAAAAAAAACTTATTTTTGTTTTTTAAATTGGCTAAGAAATCAATCATGTTTTTTATATCTTTTTTCTCTAAATTTGACTTATGATTCTATTTTCAAGAAAAGCAAATAATATACATTGTGAAGCACCCTACATTTTGAAAATTTGAAAACTCAAAATGAAATTGTCATCGACAAAATTTAAATTTTTTATATTTTTTGTCTAACAAGTTATTGTCATTGAACTTGAACATAGCCAATGCTAATTTTTCTATAAAATTTTTATTACGTATCTAACAAATTATTGTCAAGTTTATTTGTTGCAAATGCCCTACTAGAAGTAGTAGGTTCATGTCTCTCACCCCATAATTATGTAATATTGTTAACTTCGTTAACATTTATGTGACAATCATGGTGTGTCATACAACTGTTAAATATATTATTGAACATAAAATTAAAAGTGTAAAAGATTAATTCTTTTTTATACTCAGGGTCATTTTAATTTATATGGGAATTTTTGTTCAAATTTGCTACACATGCTCTGCAAAATTCTCATTTAATGTAATCTGTTTGCAGTAATATGATTGTTTGATATTTTAAAATTTTAGAAAGAAATACAACATTTGGTTTTGAAGGAAAAAAATGTATGTAGTTTAGTAGAGAACCCCTAAAATCCGTTGACAAGTTGATGGGGGAAGAGGAGATTTGAAGATTGTGAGGGAGAGTGTGGGGGGTCCATTTTTGTGTGTGTTTTGTTTTTCGTGCATACGAATATTGAATGTGATAGGCCAAGGCCAACTTTGTTGACCCACAACAAGCCAACGCGTGTCTGTGCGTGACCGTGTGGGTATGCTATGTGTTGTGGGCATGCTTGTCCAGGGTGTGTTACCCATGGCCGCATGTCCAAACCATCCTCACCACTCGCTTTCCTTTCATGTCCTTAAAGCTTTCTAGTGTAATTTTCTTGTATCGGGTTTTTGGGGTGGTAGGTGGAATTTGGCCGAGCGGCTTTGGAACTAGGTGTGTATTAGTAGGATATGTAAGCACGCCAAATTTCAAGCCAATCGGAGTTCACACGGGCCCTGTAGGCCACCGAGTGACTCCTCGCCACTTAGGACGTCTACACCTGCCACACCAAAAATGCCTTATAATGTACCTTAGGGGGGACCAAGTAGTCATCAAACCTCCCCCCGACCAAGCGTTGTATACTTTCTTGCATCCAATGTCTACAATGCTTGTTTTAAAGATGTTTTCAACTGTTTTTCTCTCTCACGTTTTCTAAAACCAATTTTCTCCTAAAACGTGAGCGGAGGCTAGACCCACGACCGAGATTGTTCGCAACTTACAGTTTTTCCTGGCTGACTTGCTCGTTTGAGCTAGAGCAAGTGCCGCACAATCGCTCGAGCTGCTTCGAAAAGGTGCGATTGTGACACTATGCGTGTTCATTTATTCAAATAAAAGCAATACTACCATCCTTATTCCTTAACCATTCTTTCTATTGACCAAATCAAACCTAAATCCAATAGCTGCTTTCAGACTTCTTCAATCACTCATCCAACCTCCAACCTCCAATCCCAAATCCATAAACCAATTTCAATTTTATAACACCCACTCCCAAGATCCAATTATTCTCTTTCATACCAATTAATTCCATTTAAATGTGTTAGATGTCCGACCAAAATCCCACCAATAATCACACATCTAGCAATATTATCGCATACAAAATATCTCCTTCAATTCATTCTTATTTTTATTTACTATAATTTAGTAATATAATTATATCTGTAAATATACTCTCTGTTTTTTATTACAAATATACTACCTCAACGAATCTCGATATCTTATTTTTCATTTTTCACTGAAAAATGATATCTTTAAAAGAAGAAGTTCAATGTTACTACGTAGTTCTGTTCTGTCTTTAGATTTAAAAGAAAAATAAATAAAAAATAAAACATGGAATGACTGTTGAAAACTTTGGGCCAGGAAGGGGAATGTCCATTGCTAAATGGGCTGGTAGCTCAGAGCCCAAATAAAATGTGCTTCCATTTACCAAAGGTTACAACGCGAAGAAAAACCCTCTCAGAGCCCTAGGAAGGCGGTTGAATAGTGAGGCAGCGTCGGAACCCCGGGCTAGGGCAGAAAGCGAAGATGATCATCCCAGTACGTTGCTTCACTTGCGGAAAGGTAAGCCATGGAGAAATAAATTCAATTTTTAGTTTAACTACCTTCTACTTATACTCCTATGTGGGAGCCTCTTCTGCAAATTTGCGTTTTTTCTGTTTTCTTGTGTGCAACTATCTTTATCTTTGGTTTGCTGCTTACGAGCACGATAAATTTTTGAATTTGTAATTTGTCAGGTGATTGGAAACAAATGGGATCATTACCTTGATCTTCTACAGGCAGACTATTCTGAAGGGTACGGATGTAGCCTCCCCTTTTCTTGTCATTTTAAGTTCTCACTCTAAAATTTCTCTCTCAAATTCCTTCTGGACTTTGAAGATTGCCTGGTCAATGTACGATATCTAACCTTTAACCTTGCTATGTAAAGATGATGCTGATGCGTTTTTTCTTGTATTAGAGATGCTCTCGATGCACTGGGCTTGGTTCGCTACTGCTGTAGGCGAATGCTCATGACTCATGTAGACCTTATCGAAAAGCTTCTTAATTACAACAGTAATTTCTCTCTCTTTCTCTACATTCATGCACGAGTTGTCTGTTGATGTACACTTACTTTAGCCTACTTCTATTAGTCGCTGCCTTTCTTTTACACCTCAGTTGTTTTCTCTTACAGCTTTGGATAAGTCTGATACCAGTTAGGCCGGGGACAAGTTTCTGCTTATTCGTGTGCAGCAGTCAGTATTTGGGTTTTATGGTTTCTGGGTCCAGTTAAGAGAAAAAGAGAATGTGTAGGAAGATTCAGTGCAGGACTCAAGTTAAGCTGTGTTGCCGTCCTGCTTTGTTTACTTGTTGATTTATACGAACCCAAATATTTAATTGTGAAGTGTTTTTAGGTCTCTACCAGTTATATATCACAATTATGTAACTTTTGGCATGTTGATGTTAGCAAAGAGAAAAAGGGAAGTAGTTAGTTATGCTGGGAAAGAGTTCCCTTCACTTAACTGACCCGGTGGAAGGCTGTCTGTATCTGCATTATCTAGAGACCTAATAGTATAAATATCGAATGTTTATGTTGCACCTGCTATTCTAAATGCGCTATTGGTTTCTCATTGTTGATTAATAGATGTGGTCATTTAGTAAAAACCTACAATAGGATGTATACTCAGTATATTTTTCCCACGGGCCCAGAAGCTTTAGTTTGTTCTGTATATTATTTTGGTAATCTGGAATTGTGTGAACTTGTTTTCTGGTTTGTTTTGCAATTCACAGAATGTATAGAATTATGAAAGAGTTGTATTGATCCTACAGTTATGTTTTAGATTTTGTTGTCCGACTGGATGTATGACTTATAAATTAGAGTCGAACCATCTTTATACTAGACTACCGAGGATGTAGTTAGGGAGGGTCCATTGTTTCTCTGTGTTTCATGTTTCTCTGTGCTTGATGTCATTCCAAAATTTTATTATCAAGATTTTCATATATTTGTCTTGTTTAGATGATAATTTGTGAACACAGGCATCTAAGATGATAATTCCAATGTCCACTGCTGAAACCAGGGGGTTCTTTTTTGGGAAATCGTTTTGAAAACAAAATTTTTGTTTTTCAGAATGATTTTTTTGACAGCACGAATTGAAGTGATCTACTTGTGGATGAGCGTCGCCGTCCATAAGCATACTCTTGATCTTTGAAAAGCGAATGCATGTGGTAATTAGTGACTTTGAGTGCGAGCATGAGCACAGGGCAGTTAGCATGTTTTTTGCATATTTGTCGGGTGGAAGCCTGCCATAATATGAAGCTCGGGGTTGTTTCATCACTTGAAATAATTCCCTCACAGGATCTGGGTTGATGTTCTTGTATCAATTCTGCTGACATTCACATGATTGATTCTACACATTTGGGGGGTTTGAAGTCCAGTGGTAGGAGCCATAGGATTGAATGAGAAAGAAAATGATTACAAGTTCAAACACGATTGCCCCGCTTTATTATTGTTTGAGTAACCAAATGCTGTCCTGAGATTTAGTCAAAGAAAGTTATATAGTCTTGAGGTCGATATTTGTTAAGTTGTAAGGATTTCGTGGAAAGGCCATTATTAGTAATGAATGTAGTTTAATTACAGAATTAAAGAACCCAGAGAAGAGAAGAGATGGTGAGGTGAGTAGAGTGTAAGAGTACTAAAATGTTGGGTAGACGTTGAAACTTTGAAGGCAATTCAAGTGGGAAGACAGTGGAAGTGGTTCATGTAACGCCTCATCTGAAATTAGTATTCAGTAAGAAAAGACAACAGCAACTAAAATTGATGTGTTAGAGACGTAATAACGTATCACAAATTTCTCACCAGGTTTTCCAATTCCTTGCCTTCTTATTATATTTATGTATTTATCTATTTTTTGATATTTGTGGATATACCTCGACTAATTTTACGGGACAATCGTATGATTTTAGTACATTTATCCTATAGAAAAGAGTTGTGTATATATATACAAGCTTATCGGGTATCAAACTATTTTAGTATTCTAGGAAAAAAGAAAAAAAGGAACATTTTTCTGAATTTGATGATGGAAGTGTTCTCGTCAATCCCCATCACCCCTAGWGAGAGAGGGAGAAAGAATCACTATCACATAGTGGAAAAAAGGCCTGTAAATAGCAATTGAAATCAGGRAAGGGCGATTCGATTTCAAATATATGTTAAAACAGGAGACAACGTGGCTTATGAGTGTACACTAAAAACTTAACCAAACCATCTTTAAATGTGCTTGCTACCTTCTCGATGTGTCTATGGACGTACTATTTAGTGGACCATTGCAGCTGAGGTGAGGAATATGAGATCCAGAGAACCTCCCCAGCTTGGAGATATCAATTATAAATCATGAAGCTGCAGCTTGTAAGTTGTAAGTTGTAAGTTGTAAGTTGTAAGATAAGGGCCGGGGTGAATTTAAACAGGACAGGAGATGAACAGTTCATGAGTCCATTCTGGGGAGTGACGACATGAATTTAAAGCGGTGGTTAAATTAATGATTGGAGGGAAATTAAATTTAAGGGGGTAGAGAGAGAGATTTGAAGTTGAAGATGAGGTTTGGATTGCCTGTGCTGTTTTGGCCCTTCACTCAGATATCTGTGGATAACCCTTCTCTCTTTTCCTATAAAAACCTCACAAATATCTTCTCCTCTTTGGCGCCTATGAAGCATTTATATGTTCTCTTCTCCTTTCTTTCACATTTCCCTTTGTTTGCTATACATAACATATGTACCTTTATTTATTCTATTCATTTTTTGTCCAATTCTAGTTTTCTGAGATAAGAGAGAATATTTTCCGTTCATATTATGTACTCTTACAGCCACGGTCAGTTTCTCCCTTGTTTTCATTGCCACCCCCATGCCTATATCCGGATGGTACCTTCTTCCCTCTCTCTTGCATGCACTCAGTTCGTAATTTTATTTACTATTACATTAGGGACAAATATATATATCGTCTTTAATTTGCACTTGCAGGTCCAACATCTTATAGAGAGATGCTTGCTACTTCATATGAGCCCGGATGAGTGCGCAAAGGCATTGGCTCACCATGCAAATATTCGCCCTCTCATAACACTTACAGGTCCAAACTCTCTCTCATGTACGTTGTGTATTTCCAAATTCCAAATTACTCTCTCACCCTCCAATCTAAATGCTCTTTTTGCAGTGTGGAGAGAGCTCCAAAAAGAAAACACTGAATTCTTCCGCTCATATTTCCATGCTATTTCTCCCAAACCATTACTGGGTATGACCCTCCATACCTCTCATTTCATATAATACCACTCTATCAAAATATCTAATTCAAAAATATGAATATGTTTTGTATATGAGAATCGTTTCTTAAACAAACCTAAGACTAGGAGAGTAGGTTTAGTTATTAGCGTTAAAGCTTCAAATCTTCTAACTTCATATTTGTTGTACTAAAAAAATAATTAATTTTATCGATTAATGTCCGTTTATTTGTTGATTAAGTATTTGGCCAATTTAAATGATCTTAAATTTGAATTCCTTTACAGCCAAATTCACAAGGAGTATGCCCAGAATGATGAGGAGAAGACAATATCACTGGAGGTGACTCAGAATTTGTAATAGTTCCGCGGATTAATTTATTTGTTTCTAAATAATCAAACGGTTCTTTTTCCCTTCTTTTTTGAAAAAGATAAATGAATAAAGGTGAGTTCAAATTTGAATGCTGAATGAAAGAAAATTAGATTTTAGTTTACTAAAAATTTATAAGTGGAATATCCTTTTGTCCACTCTCTCCATGAATTATCAATAGATAGAAGATATTTGCTCATTGTTTTTCAACGATTACCCAAAATGATTTTTAATACGGTGATCTTGAAACACGATCTCAACAGGAAAAAAACTAAAATACAAGAAAAGAAAAAGGGTTAAAATATAATTATAGTCTTAAATATTTACCCCTATTTATTATTTGGTCAAAAAGTTCAAATGTTCAATTTTAATCCCTCAATTTTCAATAAATTACGGATCCAATTTTTTCTATAAATTGTTTTTACCCAAAAATTTAGCTATCAAGGTGTATATCACTTATTACCATAAATTTTCAATTTCAACCAACTAAAATTTACTTATAAAATGTTGCAATTTTTACCATTTACTCAACTCTTACTAACTTCAACCACTAATTGTGACAAAAGGCAAGGTAGAAATCCCTCAAAACGCACTAATGTCATCGAAAATAAAGCTATGCAGAAATTTCAACCCGATCAATACACAAGTGTTGGAAAAACGACCAAAATCTCACAACATTAGTTAAATAAGGAGAAGGAAAAGCCACCAAAATCTCACATGAGTAAAATAAGGAGAAGTTCACATGAGTATATAAATTAGGACAATATTTGTATTTAATATGAGGTTTTCTGGGTGTACAAAAACAAAGTCACGAGAAGATTTTTCTATAATTTTTTCCTTACTGGGCAAATGGCGATCAGGTAAAAGATGGTGTCCCATCTACGCTTAAGTATTGTTGGATTCTCCAAATAAGCAACAATGGGAAAGACTTGGCTAGCTGTTGGACAGTGAAGAAAATTCACGCTGGTCACACAAATTTTTGTAAAATAGTTAATAGTAATTGCGTTATGTTAGCTCTAAACTTCATAAATGGCACAGTACGCATTCGGTGAAGTGACGTCTGTAATTTAAACTTTTAAAGTTACACAATATATTATGAAATGACGCCTTGATTCTTGAACATTTCAGTTCTCAAAATTCCCCAATACTAACTATCTTCATCGAAGTGTCCTACATCAGTCCATAATTTCGATTGTACATCATCAATCATTCACAGTTGGCAGCAGAAACTAAATCAGTCACGGAGATGCTTTATGATCAACAACCAGCGGATAAGAGTATTTCAACGCAGAGTCCCCATTTTTTCTTGTTTGTCTTCACAATTTCCACTATACCATCTTAATTTAACATAACTATGCACTAGTGAACCATACTCTGATGTCAATCTGAACAAAAACTTTCATAAAACTCTTAGAGAACATATTTTCCTATGTAATTCAAGAAAATCAGGTACAAGGTAATGCAAAGAGCACCCTGATGTTGAAAGCAATATATTCAAACGTTATAATCATTTCTGTATAGAGACATATCTCATCCCTTTTATCATGAACAAATTTACAATCCCAAACATTCAACGTTATCTTTTAGAAGTCATACACCAAAGCGCACTAAGAGGACTTCAGATAATACGCCAGTAACTTTTAAAATCAAATTTCCTGTTCCAAGAACAAATCGTGGCCTATCACAGTAAGCGCAATCATAATAACTGAAAGTGTAGCTCAAAGACGCAAATGGTAACCTCAAAGGATTCAATACCAATATCCACTTTTAACCCATGTTATGTGCAAAGAACCTAGCAAATTTCTATGAAAGTTCTCCCGCATATTTAAGTCCTACATCAGTAGAGCTCCTCTTTCAAGTGATTGATCCGGAGGGTGAGAGAAACTCAAATTATAAGGACAAGCTAATCCTAGACAATAGCCGTGTAGGACTATCGCCGATATCCATATTATGTTAGCCGTACTTACTTCGAGATTACGAAACTGCATATCAAATAGAGCAAAAACAACCATACGACCGGTAAGCAGATTATATCAAAAACCAGCCGCATAACAAAACCGTCAACCACTATGAAACAATAAGAATGTCAATCATGGTAACACAGCTACGAAAAATCAAGACCCGTCTTATAATTTCCTATTCTAGTTAACGTCAGAAACCATCATTAAGAATCAAGATAATGGCGAATTCTCTATCAATACGGAGAATTAAAGTAGACCTAGTCACCGCCGGGCTTCTGGTACACGTAAGTCAAACCACACTTGCCACAATAATGACGATCGAAGTGATTGGCCATGAAAGTACCAGCTCCGCACTCGGCGTTAGGACACTCTTTCCTAAGCCTCTGAACTTTTCCTGAGTCGTCGACCTTGTAAAACTGAAGAACAGAGAGCTTGACCTTCTTCTTCTTGTGCTTGATTTTTTTGGGCTTGGTGTAGGTCTTCTTCTTGCGCTTCTTGGCACCACCACGGAGCCTTAACACGAGGTGGAGCGTGGACTCCTTCTGGATGTTGTAATCGGCTAGGGTTCGGCCGTCCTCAAGCTGCTTACCAGCAAAGATGAGACGCTGCTGGTCCGGCGGTATTCCCTCCTTGTCCTGAATCTTTGCCTTCACATTGTCGATGGTATCGGAGCTCTCAACCTCGAGAGTTATGGTCTTCCCCGTCAACGTTTTCACAAAGATCTGCATATTGGCGAAGGCGGGGTTGCAGAAGCAACGGGGAGAGATGGGGAAATTTAGGGCACCAAAACTGTGAGTGGGACCATTTTATATGGATAGGGGAATTGGGCCCTTTATGGGCCGGCTGAAACGGACAGAACTCCAGCCCGGAACTTTGTCTCTTTTATACTTTTAAAGTTTTCTGATGCCTAATTCTATATTGCAATTAGTCTTGTCGAGGGTATAGGATAAATTTAAATGATTGCATTTATATCATTTATAAGCTTCGTAAAATTTAGTTATGGAATTTTTTTTTCTGAATTCCAGAATAACATTCAAGATTTGAGCTTTCCGGTTGAGAATGTATTACCTTAACGGATTGATTGATTTGTACTATGTTATCAATCTCAACTTAAAAATGTGGTAGTAGATAAAACATGCAATATCTAGTTAATAAATGTTAATTTATTTGACATGAAGTACTTAATGGATCGATGATAACGAAGTAAACAACTAAACAAAATGAAATAGCAGATATAAAAATACTTAAACTTTGAGATGAATTTGAATTTGAGGAGTCAAACCAAAGAGCCGTAACCCCGTGGGAAGAGGAAGGAAAAAGAAAGCATAGATTGAAAATGAGGAAATATAATAGAAAATTGTAAAAGGGTTTTAATGAAAGTAGTTTTGAATGCCACGCAGCATTTGCCTTTTAATTAATTGCACACCAGTTGTCAAGCTTTTTCAATCAATGCAGTCATTGAATTTACAAAAAAGTGTTATTAGCATTTAAGAGTAACATTATTTAAAAATATGAAGAGTACGCTCATTTAGCCCTCCTCCAAAAAATGAAAAAAGTATTTAATTTGTATTTCCATTAAAAAAAAACACTCTAATAATATTCAGTGAATATATTGAGGGAAAACAAAAGGCAGATTAATTGGATAAAATACGTAAGCTTGGTTGGCAATGGCATGGCATCATTAATTAAAAACTTAAACTTATATATAATAACAATATTAATACATAGAATTAGAAGCACAAGCACTGCGAATATTGAGTGGAAGGAAAAGAAAAGAAAAGAAAAATAGAGGAAATTAATAAAGGGGTTGTGTTTGTTTGGTTGATTGGTGCGTGGGCATAGCAAGAGCAACAGCATGGGAATGGGAATTAATATGTAGTGTGCGTTGTGTTTCACACAGATCCAAAGCAGCCCAGCCAGGGGATCGGAGGGTGTTGAAAAGAAGCAAGCACACAGTTTGACCTCTGACCCGCTCTGAAACCAAATAAATTAGACTATTATTATAACTTAAGAAGAAAAAGGCATTGACATTTGAATTATGTATCTCAGTGGCATCAATTCATTTAGCGTAAAGAGAGAGAATAGAAGTAATTATTCATAAATTCTGTATTTAAATGCGATTTCTTTTGAGGAAATCGACTTGGATGTGGTCGTTGGCTTACCCACCTTTGGAAACTCTTTCCTCTAAAGCTTCACAATTTCTAAATCACACTTGCCAATGCCATACAAACTATATTTACTCCATCTCCATCTCTCCATCACCTCTCTGCTGTATATTCATTCCCTTTTATCTTTAATTTATTGCTCTCATTAATGTTTGCTCTACCGCGCTAGTACTCCATATATGTACAATATATGTATATGTATGATTTGTAAACTAATCACGTGCCAGATTTAATGAACCCATTTAATTTAGTTTTGATTTAATTACCTGATTAAGTTAACAACATGCACGCTGTGGCCTGAGGGGGCCGGGTGTGCGCTACACAACAATTTTCTTCCTCATCTGATCTCCTTCTTCGCCATGGGCTGGAGGAAGATGAGCCCACTGCAGAGTAATTAAACGTACGCCAAGTTTAATTTGTATATATATCTCATCACCTGATCTTAAAGTTATTTAAGCTAATTCAAATTAAAGTTAGAGAGAGGTAGTTAATTAATTAATTACGTTTTTTGCAGCTGTCTTGAAAGCCTCTTTATGAGCCATTGCTGGGTTCTCCGCCTTCAGCCTCCGAATCTCTTCCCTGCGCGCGTTGTTTTGTTCCGACTCCAAGTGATCAGCCCGACATTTATATATATATATATATATATATATATATATATATATATATCAACGAAGAACAATAACCCTTTCTAAAACTATACGTATATGAAAACACCAATAATATATATTCTTTAATCTTACTTGATGAATTGGTTATAAGCTGACGGGGCTCGCTGTTTCTTCTCCGGGGCTTAATTTGCAAGTTAGATCATCAGAATCAAAACCAAACAAAATTAAACAGGGTATACATACCCGAAGAAAACTAATGTTAAAAAAAGAAATATATATATATATATATATGACAATATAATATAGGAGGGCGTACGCTTGTTAACAACTGGAGTGGGGGGAATATTGATGATGAGGTCGGGATCATCTTCATGATCTTGAATTATGTTATGGTTGGAGGCTATGAGGTCGGATGTGACGTTGTTGAGGTCAAAGTCTTGGCCGAAAGCCAACTGTTTTGGCTGGGAGATCCATGAGGTGACAAAAAATAAAACATATAATATATGTGTGTGTATATGTATATTTGTATTGAAATGGATGAGAAATAGAGAGAGATGATAGGGATACCAAGTTATGAGAGAGGGAAGTGAGAAGATCAAAAGGGATGAAAGAGGGCATCGCCATGTTGACAGAGAGGAGGCCAGTGCAGTTGCCGCATCTAACGCTCACCACCATCGACAGGTTGCTGTATGGAACGTTTACCTGTGCGTATATATGGTATGAAACTTAATCAGCATCCAATGAAACAAAATATAATATATCCATTGTGAATTGTGTAGTAGCGTAGTTGTAGTTGTTTTAGTAATTATATATTTGACCTTCCTTAGCTTATTGGCATCTTACCAACAATATGGTGCTACAAAGGCCACATTGGACATAGCGAATCTCTTCAGACGAATCCAGCAGGTCCTCCACTGTCGACATACCCTAACACCTTATAGTTATGCAGAGAAACTCAGAGAGTGAGGGAGAGATGAGACCTACAGCTACTTGATGTCTTTGAGACAACACAAGTGCAATTTATAGCTGATTTTACAGCCTGCCTGCATAATCAAATCTTTTACTCCCTTTCCAATTAATGATTTTGTTGTGTTAGTTGTTAGTACTACACCAGCAACCTTATTTAGTGATTTAATTACATTGCTATAAACTTATGAGCCCAAACTTTTTTCTTTTTCGAGTTCATTTAAGTAGATGCTAATTACACTCAGAGAGGAGGTGAAGGAGCATGATTTACCATTGGTCTATAATTTGTAAAATACACAACAATATTAAACGCTGAGCTCAACTAATTTATGACTTTCTTTTACTTAGATATTTAATCTAAATTTGTTTCCTTACAACAAAAAGCTAAATATATATTCAATAAAAACTGACACAAATTATTTCACTTTCATGTTATCTGCCATGCATGTTAAACTAAATAATATTGATTAATCAACCGTGAACGTGAAGCTTTATAAAACGCACGTGAATAATGATTTATTCACTCAAAAGTATTTGTACTGCAAAAAAGAAAAGAAAAGAAAAGAAAACAAGTTGTAGTTGTAGTTGTAGTTGCAGATTAGTGGGTTGTGGCTCATGATTCGGATGGAATTAGTAAAAGTGGAGAAATGCGTTTGGTGTCTGCGTTGCTGTCACAAAGAATGAGAATCGAACCTTAAAATTGAGATGTCGTGTTCCGTGCAGCGAACAGCATGCAAACAAGGAAACTACGTGGTAATAGCTTTGCTATTGCTATGCCCACCTATCTATCTTAATGTCAAAACTCCAACACAAAATAAACATACTACTACTTACTTCCTTTTATTAACCACGTCACTATGACTTTATTTGCATTTCTGATTTAGTTAATTGAATAGTGAGGGAAAGTAACGTGAGGGGTGAGAATTAGAGGGATGAAACAAAAAAATTAGTTGTATTTTTTTTCCACATCAACATTAAAAAAAAACAATATTTAGTTTATAAATATTATCACATCAGCATAAGAATAATAAAAGTTTAGTTAAGAAAAAAACATTAATGTGGAAACCCTAAAGCAGGTCGCAGGATACAGTCGAACAATAATTATCATCTACAAAGCCTCCATTAATTTTACAGATAATAAAATGAGTGAACAATAATTTTCATTTTATCACAGAAAATTACAAAGCACTAATGAATCATCAGCATCCGTCCACCTTAGCAGAATTTTATGACAAAACCACTGAATAACATTTCAAGAAAAATTATCATCAGCATTCATTCTCTAAAAGCTATTATGTAACATGAAATATGGATCTTCGGCGTTTAACAACTGTTTGATCCTCTCTCTATGGGAAGAAATGAGTTCAAACGTCTCACCAGCATTCATTCTCTAAAAGCTATTCAGTGCAATATAGCCGAAGAGAAGATATTGAATGCGGGTTAGAACAACACGAAACCAAAAGCTGATTGCTAGGGTCTCTAGGGAAGATCTAAATTGATAAATTCAGTCACCAGGATTAAGCCCTCGCCAAATGCCTGAAAGCATAACCAAAGCGAGGAAAATCCCGATGTTGGAGAACATTCCCAAACTTGATTGTGAGTTATGTCCCACAAACCAGTCACCAAAATAAAACTGCAGCAAATATAATCCCCTTTCTCTTCAATGACTTGCAAAGAGCGAAAACTAGGAAGAAGCAATCAATCTCAAATGAAGTTGACATCCACATCATTTAAATTGAGATGCAATCATGATAATATAGAAATGGAATAAAATGGGCCGAATAATCTTAAAGGATGCAACCTACATTTGGAGTTGTTCGAAGTGACCCGCAGAGAACCTAACAACATTCGCTTTACAAGTACGATTAGATCTCCTATACTAATAAGAGGTCCAAGACTGGTTCGAACCATGAGAACCAATCTAAAGAATCCCAACCCTCGAGAGAGAAAACATTCAATGATATTTTTTATATAAAACTGCATAACATCTCAGGAAAAAATCAATTAAAAAGAGCAGCAAGTGAGAGATACTTCAGAACTGTTAACCAAAATTGAGCATTGAGCGTCTCCAAACGTAACACAATTTATGAAAATAGATCCATTTGATAATTTGCAGTCCTAGTATTGTCCCAAAACGGTGATTATCATAACAACCAATCTCTATCCAAAAAAAAATGTAGCATTAAAGGAGACCTAATCACCGCCGGGCTTCTGATACACGTAAGTCAAACCACACTTGCCACAGTAATGACGATCAAAATGATTGGCCATAAAAGTACCAGCTCCGCATTCAGCGTTGGGGCACTCTTTCCTGAGCCTCTGAACCTTTCCCGAATCATCGATCTTGTAAAACTGAAGCACGGCGAGCTTGACCTTCTTTTTCTTGTGCTTGATTTTCTTAGGTTTGGTGTAGGTCTTCTTCTTGCGCTTCTTAGAACCTCCACGGAGCCTTAGCACAAGGTGTAGGGTGGACTCTTTCTGGATGTTGTAGTCGGCAAGAGTTCGACCATCCTCCAGCTGCTTACCAGCAAAAATGAGACGCTGCTGGTCCGGCGGTATTCCCTCCTTGTCCTGAATCTTGGCCTTCACATTATCGATGGTATCAGAACTCTCGACCTCGAGAGTTATGGTCTTCCCTGTCAGCGTTTTCACGAAGATCTGCATATCGTCGCAGTCGTGGGTAACCAAGGCGACGAGGGGAGATTGGCAGATTAGGGCAAAATCGGATTGCAAATTTGTATATATGGGAATGGGAATTAGGTTTGTTGGGCCGGGTTTAAGGAATATGCCATGAGGCGATTCAATTGATTGCATTGGATTGGGTTGATGGCTGAAGTAGGCTTTCTTGCCTGAAGACATTCGACAATTATGGCCCGTTCCAGCCCTAATTTTTTATTTGAGAAATATGAAGCAATGGCATATTTACGTTGCCAGGATGAAAATTGGCTAAAAGTATAGTGTGGATGGTTGATTCTGACGATAATTTACATATGTATGGGTCAAAGCCAACGTCAAATGGATCAAGCTGACTCTATAAATCGTAGGCTAATACATAATTCACTATTCAAAAGGATTTATGTGTTTTTTACTTATTTTTTTAATAGAATACTAAACCATGTATTATCTAAAATACATCATGTCTCTGGTTGACTTGCATCACTATGCCTCTATCTATTCTACGAATAACATGTCTTTGTGTATATGCAGACAAAATCATATGAAATTATTTCGTGCTTCAATCCTATTGTTGTGCATCTCAACTTTAACGAGACACTTCATCTTAAAATTTGTAATATGACTTCATGATTTTCGTTGAAAGATATCATAAACAAGGTATATTCCAATACTGCACAACATGTTCTATGATTTGTTTACAAGTTTTCCACCGTACAACTGATTTAAGCAAGAGAAATACAATTTATTTGTTGTTTTACATCTCTCAAAATACGTTAAAAGAATTTGTTGGATGACTTATTGATTTACCGTCTATCTTTCAGGGAAAAAAAATTGTATTTTTGAATATTTTTCAAGAATACAATATTGTAAAGACAGGTAATAAGCCGTCAATTTTTTAAAATAGTGAGACCTATATCAACACCGACCTAAGTATTTTGGTGGCTTCAGTAGTTACTATTATATTCGAGGGTAAAATGGAAGTTCATGATATTAATACCATAATTTCGCGTACACGTGGCAGCTAGATTGCCCAGAACAGTCCAGAAGTTTTTCCAAAAAAAATTATATTTAAACTGAACCATTCCATTAATTTAGTCTCTGGGCTGAATCTTCTCCTTCCGCAGGAATCCACGATCCCGCGGTAAGGGAAGGAAGGGCGCTTGTTGCTTTGATTGCACCTGCGGAGTTATTCAACCAAAACAATTTCTCTGCATAACCATTCACTGTTCCCTTTGGAGGAATCAAAGCATCTTCCTTCCATTGAACTCTCTGTCACCCTCCGTTTCATTTGCACACCGTGAGTGCCACGCCTTCCATTTTAATACCTATGCCGCTCTTCTCCTTCCCTTTCTTTTAAATATTGATCGTTACGTTACCCTTTCGATTGGACCAATCTAAAGTAAGGAATCTGGGAATTCAGTGGAACTTTTTAGCGATTGTTGTGTTTCTTGTTGAATAATTAGAGTTATAGACAGTGCGTATTTTTCTATATTTCTCGATGCTGATTATTGAATTTCAATTCTTCGTTATTTTCTTATGCGTTCTTTTATGCACCTTGATTTGATTCCTTCATTTTCTTGTTTGTTATTTTGATTTTTCTTCATTTTTATGGTGAAAAACTCAATCGTTCAAAAAAGGTCCTGTTTTTGTTCTGACTAATAATTTTGCCAAATTGGCCTTCTTTCTGACATTGTTTTCCTTTTTCGAAGACTGGACTTGACTAACTAGTCGTTGTTCCTCCTCATTTGAACCTGATTTTTTTTTTCCTACTCGGTCATCTCGATACATCCTACTTTCTCCTCGCTTTGAATTATAATGCAGCTGTAAAACGTTGTCTGTCTGGACCATTTATTTAACAGTTTCCTTCAAGTTTAGATCATCTTCTCAAAGACAGCTTCATCACTGAATCGATTTTTTGGATCCTCGACAATTAACTCGTCATGAGTTTCTTAGCAGGATCATCAGACCGCACGTGGAAGCTTGTCATGGTTATCGAAACTAATACTTTAAGTTATTGGTTGAACTGGAGATTCTTTCTGTGTGCTTTGTTTCTAGCATCCATTATGGTTGTGGCAGCCGTATTAATATGGACGTATGAAGGTTTCAAGAGACGCAAATCTGAATCAGGAGACGATTCACAAGATTCAGTTGGGTCATTGTACGAGGATGAATTCTGGCGGACATGTTTAAAAGGTATTCATCCAGCTTGGCTGCTAGCTTACAGAATGCTTGCTTTTGCAGTGCTCTTGGCATTGATAATAGGCGATGCTGTTGTTTCTGGAGGCGGAATATTTTTATTTTATACTCAGTAAGTCATTTATACATCTCGTATTCTTTTACCATTCTTAACTGGGTATTTTGTATTGTGTGTTGAGTGAGGACAGCAGTCCTTAACTCAATTGGCAGACTGTGTAACAGTCTTGTTCTTCTCCTTACTCCCATGTTTGATAATCTAGAGGGAAAAAGTAGGGTTCAGACGGGTTGATTTTTGGTTCAAATCTAGAAAGACTTGCATTGTGGGGAGTTTGATGATTGACCTGCTAAGAGATTGTTCAAATATGAGTTTTATTGTTCTAGTCCACACTATGATAAGTGCTTGCATCATTGCATCAGATAATATTGAAATTTTTCTTAGAATATCTACTATTGAGAACTGTAAATATTTCCTGATCGGGTTATGTAGCCCTTATTTCACTATTGCTTTGAATAATTTTGTGCAAGATGGGGCCAACACTCTGCAGACTTTTAAAATTAGAAACCCTATCTCATCTTACATCAATATGTTTAGGGAATTTACAATCATAGATTTAAACTGTATCTTTCTGAGACATGTCTCGTATGCTGCTAGAGAGGTCGCCAAAGTATGCAGTTGACTATGCATAATAATAAAACCTACCGTATCTGGTCATATTTAACCAATTAATCATCTAGAAAGTAGAGAAAATAAATTACAAACTACTTTGACAACTTGGAAAATACATTTAAACTACAGTTTAACATATCTATTTTGTGCAGGTGGACGTTCACATTGGTCACGCTCTACTTTGGGGTATGCTTTATATCTTTGAAAGCTACAAGTCTGCTAGCAAATCTGGTTATACTTTACTGACATTTGGTAGACACAAAGCAGGATGGTGTACAAGTATGTTGTGTGCAGTGTCCTCCGGACTTGGACACTAGCCCTGTGCATCCATGAAAATTGGTCCTGCGATCTGGCGTTTGGAGTCCTAAATGAACAATAGTGATCCAACGTTTGAATTATCATCTAATTATGTATGAAAATTTTGAATCATTGGTTGTAGTGGACAAGGCTAACCAGGAATACAACCAAACCTACCTAACATTCAATATATTATTAAAATTTCATGGTTTAGTTTTCCATTATCTGTAAATTATTAACCAAGCTCAAATATTGCCATCTTGCAGCTTGCAACTTCATTCTCCATTTATGGTTGTTGCAGAAAATGTAATAATAGTGGCAGCTCAACTGAGTGTACAAGTTTAGATGCAGAGCGAGGCACTTACGTACCCCCAACTCTTGGTGATGGGAGCCCCGATGTGTCCAATACAGCCAAGGGTTCAGACTCCCATGAGGATTTTCATACTCGTAAAGCTGCTGGTGTGGGGGGATATGCATTTCAAATTATTTTTCAGGTGATTATTTTCCTCCTAAAAACTTAGCAGGAATAGGTTTTATGGATCTGCACGGGTTGGCGAAGTCTCTCATGTGCTATTAGTTTAACCTTTGTAGTATACATTCGATTTATGTTATCATTCCATTAGTCTTATCTATCTCTTTCATAGAAAATACAGAGTGGGTGTCCTGAACTTTCTTGCTTGTTTTTCTTTTCATAGACATCCGCAGGTGCTGTAGTACTTACAGACATAGTATTTTGGTTCATTCTCTACCCATATCTTCTATCTCAAAATCGTGGGCTAAGTTTTGTAAGTATTTGTTCTTCTGTCCGGCCTCTCTGTGTATCTATTATAAAGCCATTTACAGTGCTTACTTTAGAGCGGGAGATGCCTTTTGTTTTGTTTGATTGATGTTAGTCGCTTTTTCACTCTTTGGCTGCAGTTCATTGTTACCATGCACTCGGTAAATGCTGTCTGTCTTCTCGGTGAAACGATTTTGAATGGCTTGGTAAGTTTTGTATTCTCATTAGTTTTCTCTTCCGGTCTTCCATTGAGTATGGGCAATGACTTAAGGTTGCTTTTGAACTGCAGCGATATCCATTCTTCCGGATTGGATATTTTGTAATGTGGACAGGGATATTTGTCCTTTTTCAATGGATCCTCCATGCTTGTGTTTCGATGCCGTAACTTTTCACTCTGCTCTACATCATTTCCCGCTTAGATTTTACATTGAACATATGAATGAGATTGTTGGATTGATTTCGACATGCTTCACTGCAGGTGGCCTTATCCATTTCTTGAACTTTCAACCCCATACGCTCCTTTATGGTAAGTATGAATCTCTGCCTCCAACTCCAGTGCATTTGTGTTTTCCCTTTTGAATTTTAAGTGGTTATGGTCGTTCCTTTTGCAGGTATGCTGGGGTTGGGTTGATGAATATCCCTTGTTTTGGGGCCTTTGCGCTAGTTATCAGAATGAAGCAGTCTCTATTGCAAAGATTGTTCCCAGAGTCGTTTCAGGGATCGAGCTGACGATTGTCGAACAACCAGTAGTTATGATATTATGTGTTTCCCAGAGAGTTCCGTCATGTTTGCTCCAAATTTTGAGTGTTGAGGACGCAAGTCACCAATCCAACAAATATTGAGCAACCAAACATGATGACGAGGTGGACAAAACACAGGCGTTGGATGGAACCCACACTCTAACCATGCTCAAATAGGCGGAAGGTGCAAGCTTATCAAGTTTTTGTATCTTTCCCTTTATTATTATTTCTTTTTTGTTGGAGCCATTTTGCTAACTTCGTTCCCCTCTCAACTGGCCATTTATTTATATATATAACATTTTTAAACGAGGATTGTCTACAAAATAATAAATATCTGTGTTTTATTATTTTTTTTCTTTGGTTAAATCATAATTTTAGATCATGAACTTTCAAATTTATCTCTAACGTGTCAACTTTACAAATATCTAATAGGCCACTGAGCTTTCAATTTTTTTTATGATAAATATTTGATGTATTAGATACTTTTTTTATGGACTTATAATTTTTGTGTCTAATTGTAAATTTTTAAAAATGTCTATTAGATCAATAATCATTAGATACAATGTTAAAAACTTAAAAACTTGTTAGAGGTGAAATTGGAAGTTATTAGATACAATGTTAAAAGACGTGAAATTGGGAGTTTACCTATTAGATATTAACCTAATAGTTAATGGATTAAATTTATAATTTATCCTTATTTTTTCTTCTTCTCGATCTTTTACTTGAAATTCATGTTTAATAATAATAATTTCATGTTTATTATTATTATTATTATCATATACTAATAAAAATTCTACTTTTTTAAGGACATACATTGAATGAATTTGAGTTATTAGGATAAATATTAAAAACAAACAATAATGGTCAAAACGACAGAAATGAACATTCCCACCACCTCCACATGTACTAAAAAAACAGACAATAATTTCATTATAATTGTGAAAATTTAGATATGAAATTTGAAATTATTGTGAAAATTTAGATATAAAATTTGAAAAGTTGGCCTTGATTTGGAAGTAAAAAAAATGTTCTTTTATTCAAACTTCAGATGATCTTCTGTTGTAAATCTATCCTTATATACAGGTTATGATATTCGGGTTTGCTAACTAAGTTGACAACATTATATATTTAATTAATTTCTGAATAATTGCTATAAGAATTGGAATGTATTGGCCGATGATTTCTTCTTCCCACAAAAAATCCATTTTTTCTTTTGATGTCTTACCACAGCCATTACAAGGGAATAAATGATAAAATAGATAAACTATCAACCTATGGAGGAAAAAAAAAATATAATTCATTTTGTCTTTACCATTGCTAAATATTTGACAATTAAAAAAGATAAATATAAAACATATATATATATATATGAATAGCGAGCGATGAACTTTTTAGTAGAGATCATGATGGAGATTACCAGGAGAGAATAATTTTCGAAAAATAATTGAGCAATGTTTAACTTTATTTTTCATTTTTTTAGGCACACAAATCTCAAAAAAAAAAAAAAGGAAGGGTTCTCTTTTTACCAAAATAGGAAAATTTTGGTTTTCTTAGAATGTTGCATCTTAATAATTTTAACCTGCCACCTATTCTGGCTCATTTATTAAATTAATTTTTATTAATTTAAATATCTATTGCTTTGGATCGAACCTTGTCTTGTGGAAATTTGGTAGGAAGGATCAAAACTTTTTGTTTATTAGTAAATCATTTTCCCAGCCTTCCACGCGATTAGTAAAATAATAAGTTTTAGTTCTATTTTCGAAATCGTCTTTTTATTTATTTTTAGTTTAAATTCAAAACTTTCAGTAGTCCGAATGCTCCTCAAGCAATAATAAATAATATGAAAGATACTTAAAATAAAAAGAAATGACAAGAGTTTGATTGATCACCAATAAGCAATAATAAATAATATGAAAAATACTTAAAATAAAAATTGATTGGTCACCAATTTTAGGTGTGAAGCACAAACAATTAATTAACATTCCAGCTAGGCGAATGAGTTTACCCGTTACTACAACCAAATATTTAATTGACATTCAAGTAAGTACCTAATTTTGTTGAAGTGGTCTTCAACTTCATTGTTTTATTATTTATTATATTCTCTTTCTTTATTCAAAGAACTGATGGAACTTCGTTGAAAAAATAAATCAAATTTTCATTTCGTCTAATAATATAAAAAATAATTATTTAAAAAGTGTGAAAATCATAATCGTTCAAATTATTTCGGAATCCAAAAATTGCTCCACCCCTATTACCATCTAAATTTCGCGCTCTGTTGCTTTTTTTTTTTTTAATTACTGTTCACATTTCTTAATTAATTTAAGGTTTCGTATAAGTTCTTAAACTTATTTTTTCTACTATACTTTGAGATTTCGGGAGGAGAGGGAAAAGGAAAGTCAACAATTTGGCTATCTCTGCCTTCGAACCCATTCAATTCCACCCAATGAAGTTTGTCAAATAATAATAAATAATAAATAAAATAATATGTTCCACCCTATACGCCAACACCAAGGACTTGTTGAAGATCCTTTCCATCAATTTTGTATTCACGAGCTAACCTACACTTACTTGCAGCCAGTACCTAGCATATAATGTGTAACCTAGTATATAATGTGTAATAAAATTTATCTCCCTAACTAAGCTTATAAATTCGGCGGCCAACGCAACCAACAATTTTTTTTTTTTTTAATTTTTTCTCCCTTTCCTTTTTTACCATTCTTTTTATTTTTATTATCTATATTGTTAACTTAAACATGACGAAGAAACCACCACAGAATCTTCTACTTTAATATCATGTTAAAGATAAATAAACCACTGCTCAACTCAAAAGTTTAAGCTAATCAATTGGGTAAATTTAATTCATATATAAATATCTCAATAATAACTCAATTGATTAAGGCCTATGTTTCCAACTAAAATGTGAATAAAACTCACTCTTTTCATCTTTTCTTTAAGAATATATTATAATTGTGAATGAAACTCACCCGTCTCTAAATGGTTCATTTAGTATTAAAAAGTGATTGTACTTGAAAAAAAGGAGTATTAAAAAGATATCCCCACTTGGCTCTAAATGATTTTTCCCATTTTGTAAAGGAATTTTTCTACCATTTTAAATTTATTAATAATAATAATAAAAGGTATGATTCATGAGAAAATAAGATAGGAAGAAAAAGAGATAAATGAAAGAACTGTGATTAAACAAATGAAAATGTCATTCAAAATTCACTTATATAAAATTAGACAAGGAGCTTCTTCTCGAAAAAAAAAAGGGTGAAGTGTCGTTGGAAGTGATAAAGATCTATATGCCAAAGTATGAAACAAAAAGAGTTAAAATTATAAAGTCACTAGATCAAACTAGAGTCCCAAATTACGCAAGGTAAGTTAGTTAAGGAAATATCAAACTATAAAATCGTTTAGTTGTCAATTAATTAAGTAATAATGAGACGTTGGTACGGGGTTACGTTTGGTCATAGATAATGAATAGATCCCATGACAACTTTAAATATTGTTTCTTATATATATATATATATATATTATATTTGCCACAGTTTCAAATCACGGCAAAAAAAATAAATAAGATGGAAAATGAGGTCGAACGTTAAAGTAGTGGTGGGAAGTGATTGAAGGCAGAAGCAGGTGTGAAATATTGATTATGTCAACTGAATAATGTTAATGAAATAATTAATGGAAAAATCGTTTAATTTTTATAATGCTTACTCTTCTCCAACCGAGTCAGATATATTAGAATACATGGTATTTCACCCAATAAAAACATCTATGAAAGCTGTTGTTTACTATTCTTTTGAACTTTTGGAATTTAGTAAAAAGTTAAATATAAGAGAGTATAAATCAAAAAAATTACTTTAATGGGGACATAAATTATTATAACTGGGGTTTTATTTGGAAGCTCGAGTTACGAAGTTAATAATGTTTGCATATTCAGATTTAATTTGAAAAATAAAATGACTGCTTCTGCTTGGTTGGTTGATGGAAAATGAAAAAAGACAGAGTACACGTGTTTCACGTTGAGTACCATCTTCCGATTACAAAAAAGAATATCCCCACGTTTTTAAGTGCATAAGCATACCCACGGGTATCACGTGTCACACCAACGTGAATCCTCATCAATCACAAACCATTATATTATTAAAGGGGTGTAATCGTGGAAATGCAAGGGTGATTGGTGATTGTGGAGTGTGGAGTGTGGAGTGTGGAAATGGGAGTGAGGGCGACGTAGCAGATCCTGATTCCACCAGGCAGAGGCAGTAGCGGCAAAAGCGTCCTTCGCATTCAAGCAATTGAGGCTTCCCACCGTTTGAAGCCACAACCAAACGAACCTTTTCTCTTTCTTTTTTTATTTTATTAATTAGTCAAATTTCAGAAATTATTTTTTAAACTTTTTGCAACTATAAATACGAGGGTCGTTAGAACGCAAGCATCGTGCAGTTAATTACACGCGAACCGAATTCCGCTACTCTGATCCTTTTTCAGCTTTTAATCAAAGGGTAATTAGTCTTTGTCGTTTACTTCCATCCGCATTTCTGTTGAGCTTTTCTTTTCTGGATCTGCGACTGCATTGTGCTTTCTTTTCTTTTCTTTTGCCTTTCGATTACCGAGTATGGCTTGTTGTTCAATTTTCAGTTCTTCTACCTCTGATTCGGAGCTAAATTTTCTGACGGGCCTTCTTTGAGCCACTGCAGGGTTTGAGAAATGGCTCGCAAGAAGATCAGAGAGTACGATTCAAAGAGATTGTTGAAGGAGCACTTCAAAAGGATCTCTGGCAGAGAACTTCCCATCCAATCCGCTCAAGTGACTCTTCTTTCTTTATTTTTCTAAACATCAAATTTCTTAGCAGTTCTATTTCTAGATCTCTTATTACTCGACATCACCTTCGTATTATTGCCTGTTGAAGTGTCTTTCACTACAAACAAGTCATTTAGTGAACAACGTTTTTCTTCTTTTATCTTTGTTTTTGTTTTTTGGTGTTTGGGTAACAATTTATAGAGTTTCACCTCCTCATTGCTTTTTGGTTTTTTCTTCGCGCGGTGCGTGCGATAATAGCTCATATAGCCTTTTTGTTTTTTTTTTCCCTTCTTTTTTGGATTTTTTGTTGTTAATGCTTTCGGCTGGAAGTTTTCCTCTGGACATTACCCAATCAGAATTGATGTTAGTGTAACTTACCGGTTTGAATCCTTGGATTTGTTTCGGTAAGAAGTCTGCGTAAACAATCGATGGAATATATCTTAGTGTTGCCAATGCCATCTCTGTCTTTGCTCGACTATAGATTCAAAATCATGAACAGACATGATTTTATCTCGTCATTTACCCCCTTTCTATGACATGGTGAATTATATACCAATTAAAATCTGGCACAGGTCACTGAATCAACTGATTTCAATGAGCTCGTTGAGAGGGAACCTTGGCTTTCATCATCAAAATTGGTCGTGAAACCCGACATGTTGTTTGGAAAGCGTGGGAAAAGTGGTTTGGTTGCCTTAAATCTTGATCTGGCTCAGGTTGCTGCATTTGTGAAAGAGCGCCTGGGCAAAGAGGTGTTTTTTTTTATTTCTTTCTATCTTTTCCGGCTATCTTCTCATGACTATTGTTTGATTTCTATTTATCACATCTTATTTCCTTCTCTCGCTTAGTGATCATTTTACTATGTTTTTCTCTTTCACAACCAGGTATCGATGGGTGGATGTAAGGGTCCCATCACAACATTTATTGTGGAACCCTTCATTCCACACAAAGAAGAATACTATCTTAATATTGTCTCAGAGAGACTTGGATGCAGCATTAGCTTCTCGGAATGTGGAGGAATTGAAATAGAGGAGAACTGGGATAAGGTATTGTTACTGTTAATTCTTAATAGAAGAGCTCATTAGGTTCAAGAGTTAACTCTTTCTGTTTGATTTCTGTAAGCCCAAAATTTTACAAAGTTTCAATGAAACTCTCTTTCATTCAGGTCAAGACCATATTTATCCCAACTGGAGTGTCTCTCACTTCAGAAATATGCGCTGAGCTGGTGGCGACCCTTCCTTTAGAGGTACCTTTGCATTGATATAAATTGTTCTTTTAGAGGGTTTTTTATCCGTTGATATTAATATATCATTATCATATAGTACTCTCGTCTATATAGTTTGTGGAGGCGTAAAATCTGCTTTAAGACCTAAAATGTACTTTTTATATACGAGGCTTTAATTTAGCTGAAATGGTTATGTTGTCCGGAATATCAAGAAACTTCTTCCCAAGAGCAAATTGTTGACATAACTTTGTTCATCATTCCAGATCAAAGGAGAAATGGAGGAGTTTATCAAGGCAGTTTATACCCTGTTCCAAGGTATGTTATTTGCCTATGATGTGAACTTTATTGTTAAGTTATGGGTGGATTGGAAAACTGAAATTGTTAGATTAGTATTTAATATATTTTAATACTCCTCGCATCTGTGAATAGATATTGATGTGTTGTAAAGCTTCGCACATGAATTATTGATATGAAATATGGAATTAAATATCATTATTAGGATGTCCTGTCTTCTTATCATGTTAAATCATCCCTAGAGTTAGAGTATTCCTTGGTCTATTCTCTACATTGATCAATTTATTTCAATTTCCTTGCGAGGCAGATCTGGACTTCACTTTCTTGGAAATGAATCCTTTTGCGATTGTTGATGGGAAGCCCTATCCTTTGGATATGAGAGGTGAACTAGATGACACTGCTGCTTTCAAGAACTTCAAGAAGTATGTCTAACACTCTTGGTTATAATTATATTTCATCCATTGCTTTTTGCGTTAAGTACAAGCCTAATAAAGTATATTTTCTGATATGTTTTGGACCTTGTAGGTGGGGAAGTATTGAATTCCCAATGCCATTTGGTAGGGTTATGAGTCCTACAGAAAGCTTTATCCATGGCCTAGATGAAAAGGTAATACGCCTGTCTATAACTTTTCTACATATTTCTAAATGTCTTTCTTCTTTAACAATTCTTTCCCCAAGACGACTGATTTACATATATTGTTTTATTCTGGAAATTCATGGAAAAAGTTCCATTCAATTTGGAAGTCTTTTATTGGGTGAAGAGGTAACGATATTTGGGAATTTAACAGTTCTGCTAATAACAGTTGTCAGTCTATGTTCTTTAGTTCGAGTCTTTGGGACTTGCAAGTATGAATGGCTTGAATATTTTTGTTCTTTTTTAACGCATGTTGATGCTCTTATTCTTGTATGTAGATCATGTTTGTTGCCATGGTTGTTCTATACAACATGTGCAGGATCTGCTTTTTAATTATTGTTTTTCTGAGGTTTGAACGCCCTTGCAAGTGTGCCTAGTTCAATGCTTATGCGACCAGCTTAAACTAATTTCATTCCATTCATAAGTGAGTTGGCTGAAATATCATTTCAATTTACTTCTCTATTAGGATCCCAATTACAAGAAAATGACGATGTAACTATTACAATATCAAAGAGAAATTACAATATCAACGACCTTTCAAGAGGGCTCTCTCTCTCCCAAGTCCCTCACTCTCCCAAGTCCCTCACCAGACTATTCTAAAAAACTATCCTCTCCTCTTCTCTCTACTTCCTCTATTTATAACCTAACTCAATCCTATTTAACTACCATAATGACCCCAACTAATATACTAATAATATTTCCATGAGTACTTTCACAACTTCATACTGGATCTAATCTGTTCAAGCTGAATTAATTCAATTTACTTCATACTAGATCTAATCCATTTCGAAGGAAGTTTTCGTTCTAAACTGATTGAAGGAACTATGTTTATCTTCCATGTAGACAAGTGCATCTTTGAAATTCACAGTTCTGAACCCCAAGGGACGAATTTGGACAATGGTGGCTGGAGGAGGTGCAAGTGTCATCTATGCAGATACGGTGTGCTTCTCTTAAGACTTGAGTGTTGAAATTCAGCTTTCAATTTTATTATTTTGGTTTATTGATAGAAGTTTTCCTTTTGTCTAGGTCGGAGATCTTGGTTATGCCTCTGAGCTTGGAAACTATGCAGAATATAGTGGAGCACCTAACGAAGAGGAGGTGTTGCAGTATGCCAGAGTTGTTATTGATGTAAGCAATGTTTATTATCTAGTTACACGTGCATAATTACCATAATGTATGCAACCATGAGTATGTGAAGATACTTTGAATTTTTAATCAAACATCTGCTTCTGTGCATTGAATGAAGAAGTTGATGCTCTCCTTCGTTTCCTGTAGTGTGCAACTGCAGACCCCGATGGCCAAAAGAGAGCACTCGTGGTTGGAGGAGGGATAGCAAACTTTACTGATGTAGCTGCTACATTTAATGGCATAATTCGGGCCTTGAAGGAGAAGGTGAAGCAACCCCTGTCCAGTTTTAGGCAATTCATTTTCTTGATTCCTTTAGTATACTAATGGGTAGGCACATTATGTTGATATGGTTCAGGAATCAAGGCTGAAAGCGGCTAGGATGAATATTTATGTAAGGAGGGGAGGCCCCAACTACCAGAGAGGTCTGGCCAAGATGCGGGCACTCGGCGAAGAACTCGGTGTTCCAATCGAGGTACCGTGCAGCATTAAATGACGAAATATATAATATTGTTAAAAGGCCTGTAAAAAGTTGATACTGAGAAACCTTGGTTTTATATAGGTTTATGGGCCAGAGGCAACCATGACTGGTATATGCAAGCAAGCGATTGAGTGCATAACGGCAGCTGCATAAGTCAGGACTGGGAACACCATCCGCGTCGAGCATGTGGTAGAGATCGAGCATGTGGTAGAGATCTTATAATTATGTTGTGTAGTTTTCTTTGTCTTCAACCAATTTGTGGCGATAGTTCCTCAAGTTTTTAATAAAAATCTCCATTTGTTATGCATTTGAACAATAATTTGTGAGCAGAAACTTTTGGGTGGATAAGGATAAAGCAAGGGGGTCATACGAATTCAATATGGATAGGTGTAACGATTTGGACTATTCTGTGTCGTTGTCAGTATAGGCTTATCTTTCATTTAAGAGGAGGCCATTAAATTTAGTAGCCAATTTCTCACTGCTATTTGAACTAGATGCATTATTTTTTACGTTTGATGCCACTGACTAACTCGGATACACATTGGTCTTGATGCTGTAACATGCAATTGTCTGACAAATGAACTTTTATTATTTATTTTATTTTTGGAACCAAAAGAAACTTCATCCAAGAGGATGAATAAGATCCAAAAGCAGTCATTTGAAGAGGTACATAATGAGGAATATAGGCGTAAAGAACATTGACAGTATTCTAACTCCAGATATAATTTAGAAGTAAAAAAGTTATGTTTTTGTAAGCTTGAGTGATAAATACCAGCCTGGGCTATATCAAGGCACCTGCACTCCTCTACTTTTCTTAAAGATTGAAAGTTGGATCTTACTGCCAACATAAGTGTATCTATAAGTGAAGGTATCAAATCTTCAAATATCATATTTATTTTACTAAAGAAAAAAAGGACCCATCATATATTTGTTCAACTAATTAAGGAAAAAAAAATAAAGAATTGAGGGATGAATATGTAAGATGAATGTAGATATAAAGAAAGATATGCAAAGGGTCCAGTGATTAAAGGCGGGAAGGATGAGATAAAGGAAGGGATGTCCAAATGACCCTACAGGTGGAGTCGTCTCTGTGTCATAGATATTAAAAATTTGACATTCGACCTATTTTGGAGTTGACGTGGGAGTTCAATTGTGGCCCGCCACCAATTCAATCGAAACGCCTAGCAAATCTATTGCATAAAATTGAGATGTTTATGGTCCACCATTAACAATTTAAAAGAAGGAAAGAAAAGAATAAAATAAATGAGTTTTATCCATCTACAATTCCATCCACCTATATTATTTATTAAAAAAAAAAATGAAATAGACTTCAAATATGAGTCTATATAAGGAACCAGCTTCCATTGTGTGGGTAGCAGTCGCAGTTGCAGAGGCGATATGAGGAGTGAGTGGGAGTCAAAGTCAGAGGAGGAAGGTCGAATGGAAATTGGTGGAGATATGTTGGAAGAAATTGTATGTCGTTTGGCGTTGGTGGATCTAGTTTGGGCCAACCGCGTTTCCTCAGCCTGGCGATCTGCAATCTCCACCTCTCTTAAACGCCTCAACACTCTAAAGCCATGGCTCGTCATTCACTCTCAGTACTCCACTAATTCCGCGACCGCGCGCGCCGTCGCATACGACCCCAGGTCCCACCTCTGGATGGAGATCCGAAAGCCGCCGCCCCCCGCCGGCTACTTCTCTCCTCTCCGATCCTCCCACTCCTCCCTCCTCTACATGATCTCCTCCTCCAGATTCGCGTATTCGGTTGATCCGCTCCACCTCCACTGGCATGAAGCTCCCACTCCCCCAATGGGCGGTTGGCAGTGGCGTCCCGATCCTGTGGTAGCGGCGGTCGGGAAGCACCTCGTCATTGTGGCGGCCGGATGTGGTAGCTGCCTCATAGACGACCACACTGTTCCCCCGGTCCAAATTTACGACACCACCACTGCCACGTGGGAGTGCCCGTGCGACTCCATGCCCACCCAACTCATGGACTCCGGCGCCTCCACGTGGCTGTCAGTGGCAGTTGCAGTTGCTGCGGAGGAACACACAATGTACGTGAGCGTGAAAAGTTCTGGCGTAACCTTCAGCTTTGATCCGAGGAGCAGGAGTTGGAGCGGAGGGTACGATGTGCGGCGGCGTGGCGGCGGAGGTGGAGAAAGCGTGTTCTACTCGGAGATCGCGTGGTGCAGTGGTAGTGGTGTGATTGCGGTGGGTCTAACCGGAGAGGCGGAGAGCGTGAGTAGCGTAGTGATGTGGGAAGTGGAGGGGGAGGGGGTGTGCAGCTGGAGGATGCCAGCGGAGCTTTTGGAGAAGCTAAAGGGAGACAGTGCTGGGTACATGCCCTCCATTTCAGTGAATGTGATGGATGATTTTGTGTTCATACACAACCCTTTGCAGCCTCGGGAGGTGATTGTGTGCCACCTCCACCTCCGGACCTGCCGCTGGGGAAGCGTATGCGTAGGCGTAGCCGCCTTCGACGACGCCTGCCTCTTCCGCAGCTTGGTGTTCGCCGCCTCCACTGTAACCCTCCCACATTTGGAACTCGCCTTCAAACTCGGGACCACACTCAAAACATTATAAAATACGTACCCAATTAATTAATAATCTCAGTCGCATCGCCCCCTCCACAATTTGACAACCAAGAGAGAAATGTAAGGACAAAGTTGCTCTCACCGACCGGTGAGGAGTCTTGAGTATTTTCCCCCTGAATATGTATCCTATTTTTATTGACTTCTTTGAGTTCTTAATTGGTACGGGTTGATTGTTGTGTTGGATTCCGAAAATAGTTGGTATATAATAAGTATAATCAAGATATATGGAAACAGGAAACCATATCTTCTGAAAAATTAAGATAGCTATACAATACAATCATGAGAGAGAGAACAAAATTTAATGACGGAATGCCATAGCCATAGATGATATGGTAGAAGTAGAACCATGTTTATGGTTTCTACATGTGAAAACTTTAATGATGGCACCTGCCGGCTGCCACCTATGTATTATTCTTTTCTTTTTGGTTCCATTTTTTCATAAACACAAGGATGGGATAACAGAATAAAATATTCATCCATATCTCAATATAGTTTTTGCATAATGGGAAAGTCTCCACATTAATAAATTAATGATAGAATGAAACATACAAATTTTCTTTAAATTATAAATTTGGTTTTGCCAAAAAAATATATAAGAGGAGAAAGATAAGGTTGAGTAGGAAAGCCTATTGCGTATTTGGGCCATCCCAAACTAAGTTTCCCAGCTCTCAAACACCTAGGCCCGCCCATCGGATATGTTCAGAGTATGGCAAGTATTTTCATACAATATATTAGAAAGAAACTAGATTGAAGTATAGTGAAGTAGGGATATGAAAGGTAGGTTCTTTTATCTCAAAATCATCCTAATTTAAAGTTGATGCTGAAGTAAATATCTCTCTCCTATCTCATTTAATTTCACTTGTCAGAGTCATTATAAATTCTCAATAGTGTAATAACTTCTCTTATAACTATTCACTCTTAGTCTAAACCCGTCCAGTTCCACTATTCAATAATAAATTTAATAATAACTTTGGTGGAGTGGGAGTGGGACTCGGGCAAGGGAGAAGCCTGAGGTTTAACGTGACATGTGACTGTTAGTGGAAATAAAGAATATAATAATTTTTAGTTCAACTAATTATAATTAGAAATGAAAATTTAGAATTAATTAGAAAACGTAGAGGTAGCTGCAGCTGCAGCGCTTCTAAGCATTATTCCGCGGAATTGTGATTTTCCCAAAGCAGGAGCAGGCTGAGTTGAGCTACGCTGGGTTCCGTGTTCCGGGTCTCGGTCTCGGGTACACAAATTCAGAATTTTTGTTTTGTTTTTTGTTTTTTGGTTTTTTACTTTCTCTATTTTAAATATAAAATTAAATTAT